GGCTCCTGTAGACTCCCATAGCTACTCTCTCTATAGCTGGAAGCAAGCAGGCCATTCTATTAAAGTGCATGCCTATGTTCTGAAACCCACGCCCCCTTTCTGATTGCCAAATCTCATGAGGTACCCAGAACTTCTTCACTGCTGTGGGCTGCAGGTGTCCCCAGCCTACCTGTTTGTTTCTGTCTGCCACACCTTCAGTTCTGTGCATTCTTCTGTTGCTGCTGTCTGCCAGGCTGTGAACTCTTCATAAGCCGTACAGAAGACTTGAACTCCGTCGTGCAGAGATTTCCTTCAACAGTGGGAGTAGGGATGGGGGAAGGGGAACAAAAGGCAATGACATTTCCTTTGAAAGGCATGAAGTTTATACAGCAAAAGTACACAGTAAAACAAGGGCCTAGACGATGCAATTACACAATGTCCAAGCTGGTAGAAAATATATTGGATGAATAGTTGCAGGAAAAAAAGTACAAATACTCTCTATGTCTACAGACAAAATTTGTGCTTTGGGATTAAGGAAGCAAAGCCTCCTACAGACAATGGAGTACCAGAGGGAATCTGACTCTCCTCTGCTGGTGTCATAGCTTAACCTTGATATTCTAGTTCAATAGCATTTCCTTGGTAAAAGTGTATTAGCTTTCAAAAGCAGTATAATTACATATCTCAGTTTAAGGAAGGACCTATGATAACTTCCTGCTTCTCCCATATAGGTTGCAGGTCATGCATGTATCTTCCAAATACTACTTTACTATCTCATCTATATAAGAGATTTCCTCTTTCTGAATTAGATCATTACTACTCAGTGTTATTTTCTGTATTGAGGAAAAGAAAAAACACTGCCGAGTATTTGAAAAAAACATAAACATGACCACTTGTAGTTTAAGCAAAACCAAGTAGGCGGATTTGTTGTAAACTACTATTTTGTGGTTAATAAAGAGCCATCTGTATATACAGACTGTATATCATAATAAGAGTTCCGCTAATATTGATGAAGGGCAGCATAATCAGATACAAACACTTTGTCCCATTGCACTTACAAAACTTACGACTGGCAACTTTTTCTATATTTTATATAAGGTTCATGGTATGTATATGTTGCATACAATTTAGTAGTACACTCTTAACAAATGAATAAAAAATTACTAGGTTTTAAATATATACCATGGCAAAGAGTTATAACCCAAGAACATGTTGACAGAAAATAGGAAAGACTGCAAGAGATAAGACAGTCCAGAGACTGGTAAGAACATAAAAACAAAATAAAAACAAGCAAGGGAGATTTGCATGCTTATTGTTTTACACCAAAGACACTAATTTGCCTCTGTAGTTTATATTAATATTCTCTGATGCCTGTTCAGAAGTTCTCAGATCTAACATCCTTTAATCCCTAAAATTACAGCCAATTATGGTAAGTAATAAATTTACCACCACTTAGCAATTTAGCACCACACAGTTTAGTCTATCACAGTAGCACATATTTTATCACTTCTCCAAAGTGAACTATAAACAGGTTTCTCTGTTCAAATAGAACACAGTCTTGACACTACACTACAGATCATTAAAAAACCCTACTCAAACTACCTTTTGATCTGAAAAGGCATTTACATTTTTGCACTGATAAAGCTTATTTCACCTTCAATGATGAAATCTCTTCTCAAATGACCATGATATATTTGTCAAATCTGATTTAACCCTGCTAACTGACAGCTCCCAAAGGAAGTGACTGGGGATGAGTCCATTCAATGCTTCTCTTAATCTTGATGTTTCAGTACTGCATTACTTAAGTTTCTGACTTACATGAGTATTTTAAACATGGTCATCAGAATGCTTCAAAAGCATCAGCCAGCCAAACTCATTGCATTAGGTTATTTGTTGACCTCCCCAAGTCTTCCCAGCTTGGAGCGATTCTATTTATTTGCATGTTATTTATTGAGACTTTCTTAAATTACGTGAAAATCGTTCCTCCTGGAAATATCTGGTTGATTTTCGTCATAGTTCAAAAAATGTACTTGGTTATAGGACAATTAACTTCATGTGCAAGCTTCATTATATTCTACAAAACAAATTCCCATCTGCTTCAGTTTATAATACTTCTGCCACTAGGCTTTCTTCTGTCTTTTACCAAGGAACCTCTGGAGGAAAAAGTAATTTTGAACACTGCAACTAGAAGAGACGTTTTAAGAAATCACTGTCAAACCTTAAAGAGGCATAACTGATGACAAATTACATGCATGAAAATAAAGGCAAAATGCTGATGATTGTACAACATGAGCAGTTCTTACTGAGGCTTAAAAGTAGTGGATGAGCAAAATTGTTCACAGAGGTGTATTTTTACTTCAAGAATCACTAAAATAGTAAAATCAAAGATAAAATTATTTTTCTTCAACTATATGTTGTTAACCAGATTTCACTGCTCTATGTCAGAAAATACCCCCATAATAAAAGGAATAAAAACTACCATATTTCTCCTTGGACCTTTTTTTTTTTTTAGCTGAAATGAAAAACAAAAATCTTTGACAGTTATCAAAACCAGAATTTCTTGAATGAGAATAAAAGAGGATATTTGAAGACTGAACTACATAAAAGCCCTTCAGTTTTGACAAGATTTACAGGGACAGTAATAAAAGAATGTGCCTGTATTGAGGCAATGGAAGATCACTTTTTTCTGAATAAATTAGTGTGTAACTCCTTTAGAGAAAATGTAACCCTAAGGAGGTATGTAGCCATCAAACAACAGCTAGTACAAACCTGGGCCAGATACAGGAAAGAGAGAGGTCTTGTTTTTTAAGTGTTCAGAGAGAGGAATTGTCTCCTCAACCTGAAAACACCATTTAGCAGGCACCTTAGCTTGCAGTCAGCCAAATGCCACGAAGTGCCACGGGCTGTGCATTTTACAGGCATCACTCAAAAGGGCTCTGTGCTTCACAGTTCATTCTGATGGCACTGAGGTGCTCAGCATCAAACTGCACCATAATCCTCCTGCACCTGCCTCTGTTCCAGGGTGGGCTTTTAGCACTGCTAAGAGCCAGCTCCCTTCCCGAGGGCAGCCAGTCTGCTAACACTGGCTCCATGCAGGACAGCTGGCAGACAGCCCTGCAACAAGTCCCAGGAGTTAAGGTAGGATGCTCCCAGCAGGTAGGATGCTCCTGTGAGGCACAGCCACTGCTCCAGATTCTCCTCCCCCAGTGAAGGTCCTGAGCCCGTGTCTCACCTCACAGGTAAAGGCTCCCCACCGCTGCCAAGTCCCTGTTCAACAGCGGAGATTCAGGAGCTGGAAGGAACATATAAGGGATTTAATGTAACAAAGCCCTTCTGGTCTGTGTTTCAAGGTCTGTAATTAATTAAAGTGTCACTAGATGAAATGCTTGTGTAATGACAGGAGCACTCAGAGGTGCTGGAGTTACCCGGAGTGCCTTCAACACCTCAGGGCATGGACTCAGCATCCTTCTCTGCTAATGGGGCTTCTTTTGCTTCCCATCAAAGGGCTGAAAAATGTTTCCACCACAGGAAACACATGAGTTGACAGCTACTGATAACAGTTTCACTCTTAAAATAAAACTTGAAATATGAAATTAAATAAAAAATTTGATACCTGATGCTGTTTCAACAACTGTTACCAAACAAAGTACATAAATGGGATTTAGAGTATTTCCAGCTACTCCCCAGTGACCACATGGCCAGCGATTCATGCCCTTTTTCTGTCTGCCTCTTTCACCCAATTAATCTTTGATTTTGCTATAACAAATGTGAAAGCTCCTTCATAGGGGGTGGAGACACAGGAATGGGGCTGGATTCTGACATGGTGCAAGAACCAGTACCATTTCAGTGCCATCCAACTTTGGGATTTTATCCCACTTTGGACACTGAGAGGATGTAATTTCCCAGTTTCTCACTCATCAAACAACTCAGGTCAGGGTCAATCCCTAGGACACATCTTCGTATCTTCTCTAATTATAAACGTAGAAAGTGCAGTTTAGTTGTGACACTGGTATCAATAACTCTTGCCTTGAGCATGCATTATCTGGTTATGTATTTTAAGTAGCATATCAGAGAAAAAAAGGCAGGTTTGTTTTAGCTTTTTCCTTAAGAAAAATATTCTAAAATGTCTGTACAAGCAGAGCTACCAGAACAATGAAAAAAAAAAAAAATCACAAAACCGGGTAGGTATAAAAATAAAACCATTCTTAACCTAGGACAGAAAGAACTCTATTAAATAAAGTACAAAACTCTGAAGAGTCTCATGACAAACCTGAGGAATAGGGAAGAATAAAGACAATCCCTTACTGAAAGAGGGAATGTGAGACCTGAGAAAATAAAAACTATGAGAGATTACAAGAATAAAAGCATATGCAAATTGCTGAATGTAGTACTGATTCAACATAATGATAGATGAGCAGATGTTTGTGCGGGAGTGCATAAATTCCTTGCTTCCACGAAATAAATAATTGAGGCAAAATCTAGAATAACAATTGGATTGTAAACAGAGACAGAACACAGTCAAAGCAAAAACAGGAAAAAAGGACATGACTCTTATCCTAAGGAACAATTTCCTTAAGCCTCAACTTTTCTCACCATGAAGAGAAATGTGGAAAACATTTCATTTAGGGTGGTTTGGGCAGACACAGCAAGAGGGGGAAAAAAAAAAAAAAAGAGAGAAATAATTAGGCACACCAAGAAATATTGAGATACAAAACTACTTTTTTTCCCTAAAAAGGGTTTCCCTACCTTTCCCACTATATCCTTTTTGTTAGGTGCTGTATACAAGATGAAGCATCCAGAACTTGAAGATGCTGTGCCAAGCAAACTTTAAACATCTGACCCAGACTTTCGCATTTTTTTCTTCCTTAAAGGAAATTAAATCTCTCAAAAGCTCCTGTACTGCAATTTTTCACAATGTAATTATCACTAGAACTCTGGAATTATCAACTACAATTAGATAACTGAAATAAATGAGCAGGAGATTATTTTCCTTTTGATACCTTTATTAAAGGGACCAGCTCAGGTGGGGGCCCAACAGGTTGCGCACATGCCGCCACTGCTGCTGCTTCCATGAGTGGCACGGAGGAGGAGGGGTGCAGCAGGCAGAACCACAGATTCCATTCTCACGGGAGCAGCAGGAGATTCTGAAGTCTGGGTTGTAGCTCCGGGTTCTTATTCCAGCCGACATCTCTGTGGTTAGAGTGACAGATTAAAAAGGTCCCGCGGACACTAGAACTAATTCCTCACCCTTTGCAGTCATTTAGGTCCTTCAATTTCGTGGTGGCTCGCTGTTTTAGGGGTCTTTTGGTGCTGGATTTGGTGTGTTTCTGCATTTGCATATTGCCTCTGACATAACTTCCTCCTCAGAGCCCCAGGTGCCATTTTCTAGGAAGCAGCAGGGGTGAAACCCGACCTGATGGAGAGGGATTTCTAACAGGTATTTAACAGGGGATGAACAACAAATAATTAATTAATCAACAACAAGTTAACAATAGGCTATCAGATGACAAAGACTGGTCACAGTGGGTTTAACTCTATGAACTCTATAACCTTTAAGAAAAGGGCAATTTCTTATTTCTAACAATAACTAAAGCTTTGCTTTACTACTTACCAGATTACAGGAACATCCTCAGTAACATTTAAGTACATATGCTAGGATTAACTGTAGCATTCAAGTGTTTGAAATAATGCATTTTAATCTACAAAGAAGAATCAAGGCACTGTTTTTAAGGCCATCCCATTTTGTATTGACTGCAACAAAAATAACTCCTTGCCACATTCAGTATTCACCATTCTCTCAGATTTCTAAGTGTTTTAAATTCACCTAATGTAGCTCACTTACTGCGGCCACGGAGTGTTAAGGCACCTGATAGCAGACTGCCTATGTGGCCGAAGGCAGCCACGAGAGGAGCCGCCTCTGGGTCTTGGCAGGGACTTCCAGGTGGCATTGTGTGCGGTGGCGTTGGTGACACTTGCATGTAAACATTATGAAGATCCAAGGTGAAACGATGAAGGAGAGGACACTTGTATGAATACTAAAGAACCTTTACTCTCTAGTGGGATCAGGAAGAAGTGCCAAAGAAAACTTATTCCTGATCCTAGTGGGATAAGGAATAAGTGCCAAACAAGGTCTGGCTAGGGGTTTTAAAGGGAGTGGGTGTGAAACGCGGATGAAAAATCGAATGCCACACTTCTAATAAAGATTTGTAGGGAATGGGTATGTTTATTCACAGTGCTGTGGATGCATGTCGGGACTCATTGCCCTTTAATGGACATGCGTATCTCTGAGAACTCTCAAATCTTTTTTCATTACTCTTACTAATTTCCATATGCATAGAATTTCATAATAGGTTAATTTCACATTACACTAACAGCTAGCTAAACTTGTACTCAGTTTTTGTCATAAAGTACAGAAAGAACTCCTGGGTCACTCTGCCCTGTTTGTTTCAAGGTCTGAGGAGTCTTTCTTATATTTTCTTTTTTAGTGTGGAAATTTGCATTTTTTCTCTTTAGCTGGGGTAGTTTTTTAGGGCTGCAGTCACTAGACTAAACAGCATATTTAGCAAGCTCAAAGTGGCACATTTCACTTAAATCCAAATGGATTTCTACTCTGTTAAATTTTTACTCTGTCTCATGTGTCAGGGGAAGAGTCATTCTGCAACCAATGGGAGAAAGCCGGGGGCGGTGTGCACTGCTTGCAGCAACAGGAAAACACAGAGGAGGAAGAAGTCTTGGGGACAAATCAACTATCTAAACAGGGGCAATTGACAGAGAACCTTCTGGAAGAAGCTAGGTGGAACTGGGTTGATGGACAGGGAAAGGAGGCAGCGCCACTTAGATTGACAACACTAAATAAGGATAACAGGGGAGGAACAAGGGGATTGACAATTTGAGGGACAGCCAAGTGGTGGGAAAATTTAGGAGTAAACAGCATGGAACAAACCATTGTGAGGGGATAAAAAGGGGGTACAAAGGATCAAACCATTGTACTAACTAATGAAGAACAACAAACTTTTTATAATAAACAACTGTTAAAACACATAAAAACACACCATCAAACCTAACACTGTTACCATTTCACCTACTATTATAACAGGCATGAGAGATGAATAATAGTTTCAAAAGTTGAGTTGATGTAACCACAATCAGAAATAACAGCAAAAAATCACACAGATCATGTTAAAACATTCACACTTCTTGATCTGTTATATGACTTGATGTTCATCGTCTTGTATCCTGGTGTCCATTCATAGCCCAGAGAACTAACCTGGGCTGCATCAAAAGCAGTGTGGCCAGTAGGCTGAGAGGCAATTCTGCCCCTCTACTCTACCCTTGTAAGTGCCCACCTGGAGTACTGCATCCATTCTGGAGTCCACAGCACACAAAAGATGTAGACCTGCTGGAGTGAGAGAAGAGGAGAGCCACGAAAGTTATCAGTGTGCTGGAGCCCCTCTCCTATGAAGACATGCCAAGAGCTGGGGTTGTTCAGCCTGGAGAAAGGAAAGTCCTGGGGAAACCTTTCTGTGGTCTTTCAGTACCTGATAAGGGCATCCAAGAGAGCTGGTGAGGCACTTTTGACAGGCTGTGCAGTGACAGAGCAAGGGTGAATGGCCTCAAACTGAAACAGCAGGTTCAGATTGGATATTAGGAAGAAATTTTTTACTGTGAGGGTGAGAATACTGGAACAGATTGGGTAAAGAACTTCTGGACTCCCTACCTCTGGAAATGTTCAACACCAGGTTGGATGGGGCTCTGGTCTAGAGCAAAGTGTCCCTGTCCATGGCAGGTTTGGAACTAGGTGATTTGTAAGGTCCCTTCCAACACAAACCATTCTACAATTCAATATTGTCAGTAAAATTCAGTCAAGAGGAACACTGATGTTACAACTATTTATGATGTTATGGCATACTAAATATATGATTTACCTCAACCAGTGGTAGATCTTCCACTCAAAAAAACCCCCAAAACTTCCAGCAAGGATCAAGAACACTTTTTAAAATTTGAAACTATACAGTTCTTTAGGTGTCCTCATTAGAGAATGAGGACCTCTCCTTTAATCTTATAGGTCAGCAGTCAAAGTGAGCTTGTCTAAACAATGAGTGAATGCTGTTACCTTCATGAAAGTATTCAGTACTTTATGCAGTGCACTATAAATTCTTGTTGCATTCTGAGGTTTCTTGCCAAAACTTTATTGCAATATATGGAGTGCAAGCACTCCATATATTGCAGTCTATAGGGATAATTTAAGCACTTTAAAAAACAACTGGAATACTTACTTTTAGTCATGTATCACCTAAAAGAAGAAACAGCTCAGAAAAAATAAAGCTATCATGGGCTACTGATCTGTTTTTGAAAAAGGACGCCTTTAAAATCTATTATTGGAGGAATATATCTTTTAGAATTAAAGGATGCAGTGAGTAAATATGTGAGTGTCCAATGTAACAATAGGGTTCTAAACCTGGTTGAAAACGACACAAAAAAGTACATTATTTATTGTAACACTATCAGATTCTCATCTATTTAAAATAGTACCATACGTTGTAGTCCTAGGAATTTCTCTTCAGTTTCAAAGACAAACACAAACAAGGGAACTACAGTTTTAAAGTGAGCTTCCAGTGCCTACTAAGCATGGACCAACCAGCTATTAGTGCCTTGGATCCTAACCTGCAGGTATGTGGTGTTCCAACACAGCCTGGCTGTATGGATGCTTGCAATCAGACCCTGTTTGGCTGTTGTTTGGAGCTGGAATTCAGGAGAGACACCACTTACAACAAGTATCAGGGGCAGATCAAGTTATCCCAAGTGGGCTGACTCCTTTCCAATATGGATTTGTGTCATAAATAGAGGAAACAAGACGGTGTGCCAGTTTTGGACATCAAAAGGAATTGAGACATTAGAGGAAATTTCTTCACAGAAAGGGTTGTTGGAATAGACTGCTCAGGGAGATGGTGGAGTGAGCATCCCTGGAGGTGTTCAACAAATGATTGGAAGTGTAACTTAGTGCCATAGCCTAGTTGACAATGCAGTGATCAGTCAAGGACTGGACTTGATAATCTCAGAGGTCTTGTCCAACCTAAGTGATTCTGTTATTCTATGAATAGGGTATTCTGCTAGCTCATTAGATAGAACTGAGGTTCAGAAATGCATTTACTTAGCCAGAAAGCATAAATGTGCCTACATAATGTGCAGCAGAAAGTGGAAAAAAAGTCAAACTAATTCCAGTTTTATTTTCCAATTTATTATTTTTTTATTAGAAAATAATTTGTAACAAGATTTGGTGAGAACCCAAGGAAGGGCAGATTAAGTATGATTTTAAGGTATATGTTATGCTTAGTTGTCTTTGAAAGATTTTTCTTAGTTATCAGTGATTTCCTTTATACACAAATTTAACCCACCACTGATTCACTGAAGATATGTAAACTTGTTAGCTTAACTGAGGTTATGGAATTGAAAAACAGAGACTGATTTAAAAATATATTTACTGGAAGACTGTGATAAAAATCAATTTATCTTCCAGAGGAGTTGAGATCACCTTCCTTCCAAAATTAAATAGCAGCCACCACCTGTCTACTCTCTCTTGTCACTGAATCCTGTATGCTTGCATGTCAGTATATCCCTATTAGAAGTGAAGTTATCTAGGGATAATGAGGCAGAACCTGAAAAAAGGAGGTTTGCTTTCCTGCAGAGTTGTGCCCCAAAGCAGTTAGTGGTATCAGTGAAAGAAAAGTAATGATTTGTCATTATCATTCAAAGAGTGAATCTTGCACTGGAGAAAGGATTTTTGTTTCAATTTAAGCCTGATTTGCATATTCATTGTTAGCTGGGGTTTATATAAGCATGACTAGTTTAGATATGTCTACACTGTTTTCCAGATACAGACCCAAACCTGCACACAAGTCAAAGTTCATCCACGCCAGAAGTACATGGATTTTGGGCAAGACTGAACCATTGCTAATAGGACAGCAAATCACACACCACTGTTCAGTATGACCCCAAGCACATTCCTGCCTGCTCTCTAATCACTGCGTACTGACAGTAAAACTGCCACCTCAATCTGTGAAAAACTCTGCATCTTTCCAACAAGGCAGTTTCCTGTGCCTGTAGTTCACATTCTGAATGTATTCTACAGGAGGTATTTTCCCTCTAAGTCTATAAAGGAAGAAGATTAAAAAAAACACCCCACAGTATATGCTTAGCATTAGGGATGATATTCACGTTCCCCATCTCATATTTTCCAATAAGAACTGATGACTGTACTTGTTCATTTAGATAATATTCACATGCACACACATAAGAAGTGGCAAAAGCTATTGCAGATAGGTAACACCAAGAGAGAAATAAACAAATGTACAGTTTAGAAACCTTCTCTAGCTTCTGTTGTAAGAGGGAAAATGTAGCAAACACTGAACAAAGGCCTTATCTGAATAAGAGACATAAAAGTGCTACTTGATAGCCCTTCTGTTCTCAGTAGAAATATTTTGGAGAAATACTTACTCAGTTCCCAGAGAAATTCAGCCCTTTTGTGAGATATCTCTCTTTCATACTTTGCTTCCTTTTTTTAAAAGCCCAGAATTTTAATTTTTTTTTTCGAAATACAGAGGATTTCTGTTTAGACTAAATGTGGACAGTCATACTGTGAATCAGATAAGCTGCATACTTGGCAGACAAAGAACTGGAAAGTGATGCTTCTGGCTTCAGGTTGCCATTATAAGATCCTGTCTCTTTTTGGAAAGTTTCTCCTCTGAAAATCTCCAAGTGTGGATTTTTTGAGTGTTCACTACATTCCTAAAACACATATTTTAGGAAAAAGTAGATAGTAAAACCCTCCCCTTTTATTCTGGTATCAACTCAGCATGTTGTATAAAAAAGTACATGAAAAGAGATTCATTTAAAAAAAAAAAAAAAAAAAAAGTGAAATAAGGTAGCTGAAAGGTCATGTCATGGTCTAACCCCAGCCGGCAACTTAGCTCCAGAGCTGCTCACTCATTCCTCCCCCAACAGCAGAATGGGGGAGTGAATTAGAGGAATACAAGTGAGAAAACTCATGGCTCAAGATAAAAGCAGTTTAATAGGGAAAGCAAGCACAGCATACAAGCACAGCAAAACAAGGATTCATTCACCGCTTTCCATTGGCAGGCAGATGTTCAGCCATCCCTAAGATGGCTGGTGGCATGTGATAAGGTGCAGAAAAGGCCTTGATACTGCTCAGCAACAACTACAACATCTATGTATTATCAGTACTGTTTTGAGCAAACCTGAAACACAGTCCCAATACCAGCTACTGTGAAAAAATTTAACCTTGTCATAGCCAAAACCAGCACATTCAGCACTCATTTGGCCAATGAGATAAAACTGTCTTATATTCCTTGCTACAATCCCATATAGAGATGCCATTTCCTTGCCAGGTTCTGTTTCTCCAGTAGTAACTAACACCTGTACTGCTTCTCAAACATTACACAAGATGGTTTGAGGGTCTGTTAAATAGTGCAAAGGTTTTCATGGGCAATGGATGGGCCTTGTTTTTTTTTTTCCATACTAGGAGGGAAATACATGATTTACAGAGTTTCAGTGGACAGAGCAACTTCTGCAGTAGATAACAGCTGGAAAAATTATTGTACTGTCATGAGAACTGCCTGAGAACTGTTTTCTCTTTCACTGTTCAAGGATGAGGCTGCAGAGGAGCTGTAGAAATAGTGATGAATTACACGGCACTGATAAAACTGATATGCGCTAGATAATGCAACTAGCTTGTCCTTGCCTATACAGAGTCATCACGGAATGGGTTTGTTTGGAAGAGAACTTTAAAATGACATTTATTCCAACCTCCCTTTTCAAGATTAAATGAAACAGTGACTAAGAAAGGTGTATGAAAACAGTATAATTTGTTTTCCAACCACTCTAGTCACAGATTTCTGGCCATGCCTTCTGCAATACAGATTTATTATCTTATTTTCCTACCACTAAATTCAATTAGTTTATTGCATGGAGTTCATGGTCTCTGTGCGAAGTAAAAACTATTTAATTACTACTTAAAAAAATGTAATTAACACCTCCACTGCCCCTGTCTTGATGCATCATACTAGTGAAGCTCCACCATCCTCAAGAGTGTATAAATGAGAGAAGAAAAAGACTCAATGTAATTTAGAATTAAAAAGCTTTGTCTTTACAACTTTATGAAAGGCTTAAAATAATTTTATGAAACTTTCAAGCATGTTTAAAAGAAGTGTGTATCAATATGAAACTATAACTGAAATTTTATTTCTGGTTTGAAAATCCCAAGGCAGTTCAAATGTAGAAGTGATCACACCACTTTTACAGTAAAGCTGGCCAGTATTTTTCGTAAACCTAGAAAAGACACCTCTGTAAAAAGTTTTGCCTTAAAAGGAAAGGAGTTTTTGTAGTTGATACACTAGCTACAAATCAAGATATCTATAACCACAAAGTCCCTAGAGATCTACAAACAATAAAATTCTTTGCAGAAGTCCTAGAGGATAAAAAAATAGAACAGCAGCTCTTGGGTCACTTATACTTGGAATCTAATTTCCAACAATGCCAGTGTATAAAAGTGCTCAAACATTTGTTTTTATCAAAATGATTGTGTTCACAGAGCTGTCTGCTGTCTCAGATTCTCACCTGCAATCTGCGCTGTATGCTAGAGACTGCAACTCTCATTCTTCCCAAGCCAAGCCCAAACATGCTGTCTGTACAAAGGGCATGGTTTGCTCTCTCCTAAAAGAAAGACAAGTTATAAAGGTCAGCAGGGAATGCCCCCTAAGTAGCCTTCTCTATCTACTCAGCTTTATCCTTGGAATCAAAACTAACCTGTCACAGGGCAGAAAAAACTAAAAAAGAATAGTTAAATATAACCCTTTTCCTGGGTTATCTTGGGTGAGCCACTTTTTGTTTCACTGGACTTAACACTACCCACAAGGCTGATGTAAGGATAAACACACTAGAGGTTGTCAAGCATGGGAATAGGGTCCACAGAGAGAGACCACATTTCCTTCTGACAGACTTGTTTCAAATGCTGTGAGAAATATAAGTAAACTTAATAGTCAGAATGACCCAATATCCTCAAAGTAGAATGCATAACATTTTTATCTGAAATATAATTTTGCAGTAAGTAACAATGCAACCCTTAGCAGTATGTTTTCTAAAGCCCTGCCACTGTCAGATACAATTTATTGTTCTTCTTATATGAGTTATTTAAAAACCAAATTTTTTTTTTTTTCTTATATAAGATTGTCTTGGTGGTACTAACTCTAATGTGTGGCTAAATCAATCAAATTCAATAATTAAAGTAAATTAATTCTTACATTTGAAATTTAAATGCTACAATACAGTTAAATATTGGTTCCAGTAACTTTCACTACTAAAAGAAGGCAAAATGCATTCCAGAGGAAGCTGGAACAAGGAAAAATGAAAATATGCCTTTTTTTCCCCCTAGCATTTCTGAGGTTTACAAAACTGGAAATAAAATTCATAGATCAGCCAGGATAAGCTGGTATCAGTTATTGTTGGAAAAACTCTGTATTAGGTCTGTAGATTTTTCACTACTGATATGCTGTGCACATTCTTCTCTTCATTAATAATTTTAAAATTAATTTTTATATTGAAAGGTAAAATTCAATTAGAATAAGTTATCTTTTTATAATTCTCCCACAGCTTACCAAGAACATAAGTATTTGGAAATATATTAACAATTGCTGAATAATAACTAAAATTAAAAACTACTTATAATTATTCTTTTTCACTTTGAAATTCACATTCTAGTCACTAATGTATTTCAGGCTACTTTCACTTCTAAATGTATATATGTATGTGTTTTGCCTCTGGAAATATTACTCAAGTTGTAATATAGCCCTGATGAATCTTTTGTGGAAATGCCTTGCAGAACAAAGCTGCTGTAAAAAGTCACACTCAGAAGTTCATCTTTGAACTCCTCTGGTGTGACAAAATCTCAGCTGAAAAAGCAATTTTAACTCTATTATTACCAGTGTCAAATAAAATTGATGTACTTAGAGGACTAAAAAGATACATGACATGACTCATAGTGCAGGAGCTCCTCTCATTGATCCCACTGGAAGCTTCTAATGAAGTGGTTTACACCTCTGGATGAAAATTATTCCCATGCAGAAGTACAGTGTGCATGTCACTTTAGGCACCAGAAAAACAGTAGGATTGTGATGCATATTCAGCCTGAAAAAGCAAACAAGGGAAAAGTATTTCACAGATTCTTGGCATGCAAAACCTGAGTCTTGATAATCGCTCTTGCAGAAGGCAAGTAATTTCCTTAATATTAAGGCTGAGATGGCTTTCCTTCCTTTGTCTGAATGCTGCTGTGTGACATTTTTCCACTTCTCCAAACAAAATATTTGCAGACTGGAAAACAGCCCTTCCATATGCAAAGGACTAGCAATGTTTGCAGACTGTTCTGTGTTAAAATAGTGCTTAAAATAGTGTGAAAATAGTTTCACATATGAAGACAATTATCCAAGACAACCTCCCTCTGAACTAACATACTTCTTTTTAATTAAAGAACAAAGCTATACAGTTCTAAGTATGCATCATTTCAGTGAGTATTTAAATAGTTCTGTATCTGTTACATAAATGTTGAATTTGGGTGAATTAAAAACTAGCTGAATTATCATTCTAGTAAGCCTCGAAACTGAATTTTCCCTTTAACGGGAAGAGAAAGGTCCAATAAGCATAGATATATTCCTGTAACATGGAAATTCCAGGGTACATTTGCTTGTGCTGTCTTAGATGGTGGTGTTCTACCAACATGTATTCTTAAAGTTTAGGAGAGTGAATATGCACATTCATTCAGATTCTGTACTATTAGGTATGTCCAATGCACAGAGATTGAGGTCTGTCTCTGTGCTGATGAGGATAGGGGCATATCTTACCTGCCTTCTGCAAAGTTTTAACTTCAGTTCTTTGGTTTTGGTTATGATGGCTTCGTAGTCAGTAAAAGTGCTGAAGTTTATTTTCTGTTTTTTAAACCATTTTCATCTTTCTTATTCTCCTCCCTTATTGGGAGTAGAAGTCCTGTCATTAGAGCAAAAAACAAAATGTTTAACTTAATTTAAGAGACAAAATAATTAAATGGCAAAAGACTAGTAAAACATTTTTCAAGTCTAAGGGTTTTGGAATTACAAATAACACTTCTAATAACATTGTTTTCTCAATTTTTTTTTCACTGAAGCCCTCTTTTCTCCTTCTAAAGTAATACAGAACAACTAAAGGAAAAAGAGTTCACAGTAAAAGGATGCTGTCAGACTTTCTAAAGTTTACTGAAGTTTGTTCATAAATAAATGGAGTGGCATTTAACTTGATTACTTCCTTCCACCAGGGAAGGCTTATGCCACTTGTTACTTATTTTATGCTGCCTTTTCTTCAGGTTTTATCTTCAGAATTACGAACATATTTCCAAAGGAAAAAAAACCAAAAACCAAAAAAACCCCACAACTAAGTTTCTGCCAACTACTCGAAAAAACCTCAAACAAATTACAAACACCTCCCCCAGCCCAGGAAAACCTTAAAACACATAATTTGGATGAGAAAAAGTCTACACTCTTTCACCATACCCACGAGAAAAAGAAAGCATTCACACGTTGATTACCCCAGAGCAGGAGCCCCAAGTAGCCCAAATTCAATTACATAAGCAAGGCCTGGCTCTTCAGACAGTTTACTGCTGCTGCTTATTGGTGATAACTGGGCAAGTACTGCAGCAGAATGGAGGATACTTTCATTTAAAATTTACATTATATATAAAATTCTCATGATTTTTTTATTGCCACAGAAGACAGGCTGTTTTAAAAGTCTGAAAGGTTAGAAAATTGAGAGTTTGTGAAAAAGGCTTATCAAAGGTGATCTTTATGCTGGTATTAAAGCAGTAGGTGAGCACTAGGTAAGTAATTTTTCTCAATTTGCATTCAGATTTAGAGTAATTGTTCTCAAATTGTATTCAGATTAGAGGCTGCCTTATTTTTTACAGGTATATTACTGTAATGAAGGATACTGCCTCCCTTCCTTCCTTGAAGTCTGATCCCGTTTGAATCACTTAAAATATCTTCTGCAAATTTGAAGCACAGCTTGCAAAGCAAACCCTGTGATGAGGTGGCATCCATTTGTATCACAGTGAACTTTAATTCTACATTAAACTAGCAGATTGTCGACATTTCTTGTCTGTACATATGGCTGCAATTTAAATTGCATTTTCAACAAAGTACTGGGTTTTTCATTATGTTTTCCATTTTAAAAATTAATTTTTTCCAGATATCAGAAAGCAGGGGACTGGTGGGCAGAAAGAATTCTTTGCCCAAAATCTGGCTTGAATTTTTGGATGCCAGTTCCTTACGGTGGTGTGTTTGCCATGTGGACAAAGGCTTTACTGCCTAACTGCAACCCTGCACAGTAACAACTGAGTATTGAGAGTATCGATAATCAGTATCAACAATCTCAATAATTGGTACTGGCAGCAATCGAGGATTTTCATAAAATACGATACTAAAGCACTATAGCACTACTTTTTGTTTCATATACAGCTCTGACCTTAGAACACAATATTAAACATTTGATAAATGGCAGAATTCTCAATAGAGATTATATGCTTATTCTTGCAAATTGTCTTCAAGGAGGTAGCAGAAGATACCTGGATTTACAGCTACTCAGCAGGATGCAGACTGTGCAGAGAAGGCAACTGCATAATATGAAGATTGCATAAACTGGCCTGTAATTTTAAATCCAGACAAGACTTCTGTTTAGTTAAATCCTTAACAGAGAGCAAGCAAAAGATAAATGTTTGAAGGAGACAAATTTTGCTTATAGTCTTGTACTAGCACTCAGTATATTACTTTGGCTCTTAGAAACATGCGAATTTTGCACTGTTTTCTAAGAAAATTATTATAATCTGACTGTTAGCACAGAATGGAGAACTAATTCCTCAATGCTTGTGTTGCATAACATCTATTTCAGCACATCCTTTTGATAGTGATCTGCAGTTTAGTAACACATTATCTCTTGGCCATGCAAAATTATTTCCTGGACAGCTTGCAAGACTTATTTCTAATGTAATTCTAAATTGTGTCTCCTATTTACTACTTTTTATTTTCATGCTTTTACAATTAAAAATATCATGCCCATAAAAAAAAAATAAAATAAAATCTAGCTAAAGCCTAATAAGGTCTTAATGATTCAGCTTCAGATATTGAAAGTTGCTAAGCACCATCCCTGAAGTCAACTTCCACCTTAAGTGGTTTTAAGTCCATTTTGCTTCTTTCCTTCTTTTTCACAGTTCTTCTGACATACACATCAGTTACCTTTGCACAAACTGAGTGGATTTTATAAAAAGCAAACTTCCAACCAAGAAAACTCCTGGGTCACATATGTCCTTTGGTTATTTTACTGTTTCAGTTTTTAACAGAAATAAACAAATGCTGAAAACTGAGCTTTGAGAACTGGGCTTTGGTTGTTAATGAAAAGGAGCTGTAAAAGTATAAATTACAATCCACATTTTTATTCAGCCAATAATCAACATATATCAGTATTCAGATAATCAAAATATATCAGTATTCAGTATTTAATTTACTTTCCTTTTGCCATAAAAAAATTAAGCAAAGATCTTCCTGAATCAGTTGAACAAATCAGCAATATCCCTGTATCAGAGTCTTATTAAATACAAGCGTTTTTTATAAGCCAGAGTATGGTGCAACATATAAGTTCTTGTTCCAAAACAATTGTCACATTTGCCAAGTAACTACCAAGTGAGAATAAGTCAAAGTTTGTCTATGGAACTGAGAGAAGAGGAAAATATGCTTCAGATCAATAAATGGAATATATTAGACTTGGTATGTAAAATTTAAATACTTTTCCTGAAATTTCTAATTACTGGCCAGACAATGCTTCCAAATGCAAGCTAATAGTTGATTTTTTTTAATATCCCAAATATTCTACTTTACCATTGTTATCACTAATCTTATAATTTCTGAAACCTCTCACTTTTTCAATGATCTTACCAAATACAGCTGTAGTTCTTAGGAAGTAATCTAATCTAGCATATTATAATGCTAAGACAAACACTGCAGCATGGAAACCCTTAAAGGGCTGTTTCGTTTGCTTGGTCAGTTCCTCTAAATTCTGCTTCTTTCTCACCTGCCTTCTGCTACCCTTCCTCTTGCCTTTGTTTTTCTCTTTGCTGTTCCATTCTCCTACTGTTTCCTTGGTGGCTTCTGTATCTCATACCATGCATATAGGAAAAAGCAGCTCCCTTAGCAGAAGTTTGATAATTGTTTTCTTTCAACTCAGCGTTTTTTTTTGTGGGATGTACCATTAGCAGATGACAAGAGCTGAGATGAAACCCTGCAAAGATGTTCATCATGTCTTCTGACTGCTCACCAAAGTTAACTTGGTGGAAAAGATAGAAGCCAGTCTTATACAGGACTAAAGACCAAGTCACTCAAAACAAACTGTCTCCATCAGAACCTCCACAGTTTCCATTTAGCAAGAACTGACAAAGCTACAGCTATGTTCTAGATGGGTCTGCCTTAGCAGATCCATTTGTGCCAGCCCCCAGTGTCTAGTCATATGTTTCCACCAACCAATCCATGTTGATTCCAGGTGGATAAAATCTGTCTTACCAACAGGTGCTAAATAAAGTGACTATAAAGTTTTCTTTTCACCCATTCCAGGGAGAGCTAACTGAAACTATAAACAAGTCCTTTCATATCTTTCAGCAGTTGACTCTCCTCTCTCCTCTGCCTCTTTTTCTCTTTTCCTCTCTTTCTCTCTCCTTTCCTCTCCTTCACCCTCCCCCACTACCAAGAGATAAGTCTCTTCAGTCCTAACTGGTTCAGATAAAACAGCTTTCAAGTGCCAGCCAGTTTTTTCCTATTAAAAGCTGAAGCTCATCTACCGTTCCTAAACAGCTTTATCTGAATTGGATTCTCTCTCTGAATCCCATCATTCTGTGCATTTTAGCAGGCTGGCAGATTAACAAGCATGGGAGGTTCAATCTCTCCTCATAGCACATTGCATTGTGAGTACTGCTGAACACACAGCAAAGGGCCTAATGAAACAGCCCTGTTCCAAGTCTTTTGCCATTAGCTGTATTTACTGGGAGTTTTTATGAAAGAAAATTTTATTCTGAGGGTCACTGTACTGGTATTGGAAAATATTTTTATGAATGAGGTCCTTTATATCTAATTTAATAAACTACAAAATTAGAATTTAGCAGCAATTTTAATTGAATGAACACAATCAAGTAAGAATGTACAAAGTAAATTTGGAAGTGATTAATTAAGTCTGATTAAGGTTATGATAAGGCATGAGCAAAACCAATCAGGACTGGGGTACAGGGAGGGCTTTTCACCCTGCCTCATGTACAAAAAACAAAGAATCAAAGCGCAACTTATATCCTGTATGCTAATACATATTCATCAATATTTTCTATAAATCTCCTCCTATTTTCAATTCTTGAAATCTACATCCCTATACTTCATAGCACATGCTCTACTTGCTGCTAAGGGGTCTTGGCTTTTCAGTGGTTGCTTCCAATGAAGGCTTCTCATCATCCTCACTGTCCTTTGAACAACCCCACAGGCTGCACATGCACCCCAAGTCTTGTGTTATAGAAGCCAGCATTATATTTCAAAAATAAGTCTTATTATTTCATAGATACCTAGAATCATCCCAATTTTGTCAATTTAAAGGCTAATTCCTTAATTATCCTGAGGCCTATTCTGTTTTGGGATTTTACTTATCTCAAACTACATCTTGTATCCTATTTTCTCATGAACATCTGAAAAATCTGGTTTGTGACTCTAATTACATCTTGTTTTCCTCTATTACTTTTTAACAAATATTTTCTAAAATATCAATGTAGTTACAACTGTTAGCATGAATCATATTAATGTATCACAACATGGATGGAAGCATGAACATGTCAAGTGCTGGAAAATCAATGCACAGGGCATTTACACTGCATAAACTCTTACAGCTCTGTCAGCATGGTGAGCTAAGATGATGTAAAGGCTTTTTTGCAGCAATTTTTTTGCATCATTGATACAAACCTCTTACAGAATTCAGCCTCTGCGTTAGCTGAAGCTGACAAGAAGGAAGAAGCAGGAAGTACCCTACCCCCAAGTTATTCTTTCAGAGAACGACACCTTGCTAGAATCCACTTTGCACTATCAGAATTCAGTTATTTACCGAGCAACAAACAGAAATGCATACAATACACATATATAAACATATGTACACATATGAGTGGGCTTACTAAGGTAAGCACACATGTATACAGAAAGAAAAGTGTAAACAATTACACTGAGCCATAATCAAAAAGCTGAGGAGCTTTTGCTAGAAATTGTGCTCACTGGGCACTGCTGCACAAGCTGGGAGATTTAGAAAACGGGATGCAAAAGAGTCGCAGCTTCCATACAGTATAACCCAGCTGTCCTGGAGCCAGTGACCCTGGAAGCTGTGTTCTCCAGAAGATCACCAGCCAAAGGGCAGGGGCAGACAGGCTCAGCCCGAGTCAATCTTCTCCGCGCAAGCCCTGCCGGAATCGTTTGCCACCGAGCCTTGGTCTTACGCAGGTGGTGCTGCAGCCACTGCCCCTCAGGGCCAAAAGGAAGCTCCGACCCGCGCCCCAGCTGCCCTGCCCTGCCCTGCCCCGCCGCCGCCCGGGGGTCTGCTGGGAGGCGCGGGCGCCGGCCTCGCTCCAGTGAGCCAGCGGCGCGCGCCCCCGCCCTGCCGCCGCCCCTTAAAGCGCGCCGGGGCCGCCGCGAGCGCATCCTCACGCTGAGGGCAGCGGCCGAAGGAGCAGCGGTTTCCCGGCGGCGTCTTTCTGGCCTGTTTTTTTTTTTTTTTTTTTTTTTTTTTTTTTTATTTTCGTCCCAGTGAATTTGGAGCAGCTTTGCTTTGCAATTGACCCCCGTCGCTGTTGGAGTAGCCGGCTCTCCCACAGAGCCGCTCCGGCCCGCTTGAGGCTTCCTCAGGTGTTGCCGCCCGCGGGGCGCGGATCCGGCCGAGCCAGAGGAGCGGCGGTGGCAGCACCATGCCTGCCAGCTTCTCCGGGCGCTGCCTGGTGTGCCTCCTGCTGCTGCTCTGCACCAGCTTCTCGGGCGGGAACCCTGCAGGTAAATGGAAACTCTCCCGGGCTGGGCACCCTCCGCCCTCCGTGTCGGGCGGACCGGAGCGAGGTGGACTGGAGCACCGCCTGAGAGCAAAGGTCCTCTTTGCTCCGCAGCATCCCCCCGGCTCTGGGGAGGACGTAGCGCTGCCCCGGCACGGCAGCTGCCTTTCGGCCTTGCCTGTGGGAGCGGCTGCGGCGTTTCTTTCTCTTAGTGGCGCCGCTGTCTCCCTCAGAGTTCGGGTGGGACAGCGGGAATCGCTCTCGCTGTCCCCCAGCACCGACGTGGTGGGCGGCCGCGGACAGGCAGAGCTGTATCAGCTGTCCTGTAGCCTCAGCACATTCTCCCTCACTTAGAGAAGGGGTTTATTAGCTCGCATATGCAGATGGGTCTTGTTTAGGTCCTGTCCTTACTGAGAGAAGCATTTAAATGCTGAAAAAAACCCTCAAAACAACCAACCCACCCCCACCCTCCACAGATCGGTAGATTACATTACTAAAATAGCAGTGTGCCTAATGGATTATGAGGGACGCTCCTTTGGATTTGTTTTTGTGTTTTTAAATGTAGCATTTAAAATCCATGAAGAAAGAGGGACTTCAGCTTTCTGGGCGCCGTTCGCATCTAGAGGCTTTCAGCAGTTCAGGAGCAGGCCAGCTGTTTCTCAGGAAATACGATCTTATTTCTTATGAAACTAGTAGATTTCTGGGGTTTTTTTTCTTCTTTTTGAGCATTGCAGGTTAGTAGAGAATGATTATAGTAGGAGTTACCGGATTTCTGGTGTTTGCTGTGCAGGGTGAGATTCTTGGAGAAGATCTTGCCAAGGCCAAGGGTTCTGTCCTGTGTGCATATATATATTTGTAGCTGAACATCAGTGCTGTGATTTGAATTCACTGAGGTTTAGCTGCATTTTCAGTGTGTGAAATACAAGCAGTTGTGTTTTCTTCTGCCTCTGTTGCACTTCTAGTACCAAGAAGACCACTACTGCTCCCTAGGTGACGGTACCTTCCGTAAAATTTCTAGTAGTTTCATATAATGTGAAAGGAAATAACACTTTGCACTTCTCAAGTCTTGTTCGAAATGCATATTTAAGTATGTACACAGACAAAAATCTGCTTCGTAGTTCTTAAGTCGTCTTTAAAATACGTGTGTATTTATGTACACATAGAACTTGAAATCCTTTCTAGCGGTTTACTTAATTGAGGAGTTTTTTGAGTGCAGATGATCTGATATTTGTAGGAATGTGTGTTAGCATGTGGCTAATTGCCATAAGATAGTTATTTTTGATAGCTGTTAATGCCAAAAACCATACCTGATGGTGGCTGAAGCAGTTTTAAGTTTATATAAAGCCATTGGTAAAATGACGGCCTCTCACTGGAAGAAACAAGACAAACAAGTGAATCAAACGGCAAAACCTTCTTTGTGTTTCCAAAAATTGCAGAAATCTGCCATCTTCCTAAAGTGGTGGGTATTGTGTGGTTTAGAGCAGATGTCAGAAATAAGCTTTAGTGCTTTTCATCTGTATAGGAGTGAAGGTGTTTTTTTCCAGACTTCATTTAAATGTTTTTACAGCTGTATGAACTAGATATGTGGCATCATACTGTGACTTCTGTGATGATTTAAATGAAAAAATTGTAGTTTACTCTTTCATTGGTTATTAACTGAATGTGTATAAGGCTGGTCGAGCACAGGAACTATCTACGCAGCTGCAGCAAAGGGGAAGTTCATGTCACCTGAAGGAAGAAGAGCTTAAAGTTGTTTTCCAGTGAAGTCCAGAAACTCTGTTTGTTTTGGAGATGTGAGGGTGCTTCAACCAAAAGAAATGCTTGCAGTAGAAGTAAGCAGAGAGAGCACTTGCCACACAAGGTTGTGTGCTGCAGAAAGGTGGATTGCGCAGTCTGCAGGCTGGTCAGACAGATGCCCCAAAAGCCCTATTAGATTTTTATTTTGAGATTATATCTTGACGAAGATATCTGTTTTGTTATTCTTATCTTAGTCATGTAACTCTTTAGTTACTTGTTTTGGAAAAATATAAACTATTGCTTTTATTTTGCATTGAGTTAAGGGTAATTTCTAGCTGTGGGAAAACTGTTGTTCAGAGCTTGTTGCTTTGTTTGGGTTACCTTTGCGGTTGTATTAATTTAGTTGCAGCAAGTGCTGCCAGATTGAGGAAAAGCAGTCCCACCACATCTCATCTCTCACTTTCTGCTCCTGAAGAATTCAAGGAGCTCTGAGTGTAGAACACACCTCATTCCTTACAGACTTCGCTTCCAAGTTAGGTTTTTCTGGTTTGACCTGAGGGAACAGCTTTTATCAGGGTACTTGGGAGGCTGTAATGTTGATTCTCTGATGTCTCTGGGGCATTGGGACGTTCTGGTGGCTAGTTTTGGATACTACTGAATGCATGTGAACTTAAAAAGTATGTGATTGGTATTAAATTAAACAGTAAAATAAAGGTGTTAAATTAAACCAAAACGTTTTTCAGCCATTTCTTACTCAGCTGCTTTTCTGGCTGAAAGAGAGCAAGTAGGTTTTTAAGCCTGAAATTACTCTGGTAATAATAAGCATGGTACATCCATACTTTCTTAACCCGAAATACTGACTGCTATATGAAGCAGAAGTAATGTAGAAAACAAAATTGATTATATCATACTCTTGCCTATTCCTTGCTGCATGAAAATCAAGGAAATGAGATCTCTACATGCTACCACACTATTGATTAAATCTAGTGCAAAACAATTACAGGCTAAGGCATGCCGCTGAGACTCAGTAGTTTGTGAAGTTACTCCGCGCGACTTGCTTACATCATTGCCTGGCTGGATGACACTAATGGTGCAGTGCTGGCCCATCTTGACCTCCAGTGCTATTCCGCAAGTATATATGAGAGGAAGAGTGGTGCCGTTTTATCTCTGTTCTTCATAGCTTGATGTGTGGACAGGTAAGGTGAAAGATCTAGAAGCAGGGGTGACAAAAAAAATAACTCTACTTTCACTTCCTACATTAATCAAGGAAGAAAGCCAAGATGAGAACCCTATTAGTATGCAAACCACATTGCAGGTTATTTGCCTTAATTGCAGAGAGATAATAGAGCTGCTGTACAACTTGGCTGTTTTATCATCTTTGGGAATTTTAATTAATGTGCAGGTGATCCATGACGTACTTAGAATGCCTCAAGATGCTGCAGATACAAAAATTCACTGAGATCTTTCTTCAGTTGTACTATGAATATCAGAAAAGTAATAGCTCTCTCTGCTAAGTACCTCTGTCAGGCAAAGAATAAGATTGTCTTTTTACTGTCTGGCTCATAAACCAGCAGATCTTTTAAAGTTCTTTTCTAAACTGGAGGGCTGGGAGGGAACAGCCGGCTGTGGGACCAGTGGACTGATAAAAAAGTGGGCTGCTGTTGAGAACTACTAATGCTTAATTCTTTTAATGTTTTTTGACTACTGTGTTTTACTCTTGGTCCAAACCAGTTGAAGTATGATGGGCAGATAGAGACAGCAGATGGTGTAAGCCAGGCATGGCTGTGATGGAGTAATTGTGTTCTGGAGGTGCCAGTAGAGAATCTATAGGTTGCTTATTGGTGCTGAAATGGGGTAGGAGTGTTAGTATTGTAGGAAATGGCAGAGTGCTGACTTCACCTTCTGCAAAAGCCATGTGGTTCTCAAGTCTGAATGTAATGCAATGTGATGCAGCATTTCACTATTCACTTAAGAGTTTGACTGGATCCTTGTGGACCCCTTCCAATTCAGAATATTCTGTGATTTTGGGATCTCTGTGGGTTTGTTGATGTTTGGATGTCCAGAAGAGTTCATGATCCCAATTCCACCCCCTTGCTAATACTTTAATTACAAATTCAAAATCCATGTCTTTTCCTTGTGTGGCTGAATCACTTTCTCTGATTGCTATGGCACTAGCATATGTCATGCAATACCTTTGTCCGTGAAGATAGTACAAAATAAACGCTAACTCTGTCACCCGAAGGTAGAAATACAGGAATGAAGACGCACTTCCATTCTTCTAAGACATCTAGATATCTTGATTTTCTTAAAAGTGACACAACTACTAAAAAAGTCCTTTGCCTCTTCTGTTGCTGTTCTTTTTCCAGTCAAGAACGTAAAGCAGATAGTCTTAAATGGTTCTTGTGAAAACTGTATCATAGGAGGAGGATCAGATTTGCAATGGTACTGAGGAAAATTGGAAGTAATTGTTAGTATTAGATGCTGGAGTTACTGTTTGATACAGATGTCTTTTGTTTACTGAGGTGCTGGTGGAATCAAAGGAGGTATGTTCATTGCTTGTTCATCACACTAGATTTGTAAGGTTTTAATGAAGTCTGTACTCTATTGGAAAATCTGCTAATCTGTATTTAAAGTAATCAACCAATGTCAGTGGTGTAAGTGGTGTTTCAAAAAAGGATGTGAGTAGAGCTTAAAAAGCTGTTGGAACATTCTGAGGAGTGGCTTTGCCACTCTTAACTGCATAAGCTAACTGCAAGAAAAGAACTCTATACAGAAATTAGAGAGCAAATATTGCCTCCATTCTTTAATCTTCTCATGCCTAAAGTGAGCTAAACAACTAAAAAAAAACAATTGTGTATTTTTTAATGTGTGTGCTTAGAACTTGGGGAAAAAAAACCACAGGAGAAAGGCTGAAATGAGGATATTCTGATAGAAGTATTTTTGTGAATTATCTTTTTCTAACTCAGAGTTTCTTTAAACTTTTTCTGTTTTTTTTTTTGTTTGTTTTTTTTTTTAGATCCAGCTATGACAACACAAGATTCCAATCAGACTCAGGTGAATTCCGTAACGAAGATGCAACCTGGACATGACTCATCTGGTAATTGTTTTATTTCAGTACAGTCAAAACTCTAGTCATTTTTCCTATGGATATTCGTTTATCATATTGAGTCAGCATTTTCACACTTAAGTCTCTTGAAATAAGGTTGTGACTTTTTGGAAGAAACAGAAGCAGGTACAGCATCTAGGTCTTCTAAAGCCGCTGCAAGAGTTTAAGCATCATAACTATCTCCAGAACTGGAAAAAGCTATACAACTGCCAGTTTCATGTCCTGTTGCCCATAGGCATATATGGCTTAAAAGCAGGCAATGACCCTGGAGGTCAGGCAATGCCCAGCTAGTGGTTGTATTATAGCTTTAAGCCATGATAATTTTTAATATGAGAGCTCCTTATGCCTGTGTGTTAGTGAAAGGTATAAAAATGCCCTTGTATCATGTGCCTGCTAGCTTCATCTTTCTTAATTATGTCTGTGTCAAAACTGTCTGTTGTCTCTTATGCCTTAATGGTGTTTTAAACAGGGAGCTGATAATAAGTTCCAGACAGGACAGGAAACCAATGATTGTTGGTTCTACTTCTCCTTTGTCCATAAAGATTAGAGAATCAGAATTTCAGTACTGTCCCAAAGCTCATGTTGATTAGTGCAAGTCAAACATGAGCTAAGTTGTAGTTCTATGTGAATTCGATCAATTTCTGGCAAGTTATTTCACCTGCAGTTGGGGTTTTTATGAGGTAATGGTATTTATCTGGTGTTCATCTTCGGAGCTTTTTAGCACAATGTGAGAACTAGGAGTGCAATAGCTAATAGATTCAATAACTCTCTACATACATAAACACATGTAGACATACATGAAATACATAAAATGTTTCGTACAGTATGACCTCCTCTGAATATTTTCATTTGATACGTGACTTGAGGAAGAAGGTCAGTTTGAAAACCCTGTTTGTTGCAAGACACTTTAAAAGTTGTCTTATTTTTTCTGGCTGGATCTACCATATGAACTAGCACTGGTGCCTTCTGAATGTATTGTTGCAAGGGATTTTGGTGAAAAATCAGCTGGTGTGTGTACTGCAGTGGCATAAACTTAGCTGATCTGTGACAACCCTGACATGCTGTCTGAGTGTTTGTGCTTACAGGCAGGCTAAGATATGCCAGACCTTTTCAGCCTTAGTATTATTTCCTGGGTAAACATTTGGACTAGTTTCCTTCTCCATGGGGCAGAGATCAAGGCTTGTTGTGTTCTTGTCTACAGCCAACAGGACTATTGTCTACTGCTAAAGAAAGCTTTGATTTCTCTACTTAAAAAGCTGTTTTGTACTATCAGTTAAGATTGACAACAACCTACTGTCAACAATACCAAATCAAACAGCCTGAAGTTCTGTTCTTCTATACCAAACACCTTAATATACAGGTTTATTTTTACTTAAACTGATTGAAGCTTGAGGGAAAGTATGAAAATGCAGATGGAGCTAGCCAGAAGAAGATTGATTGCCAGTGCAACAGAATTCCTTGTGCTGTGAACTTGACAGGATGTTTTCTTAAACTGGCCGAAAACGAAAAGGCAGGTGTACCTCTGCTTATGCCTTCAGATCCCCAAACCACTAGTGGGGACCTCCTTCAGCACAGCCAGATCCTCTCAGCTGTAGCTCACAGGCATGCATTTAAGATTTTTACCTGAGAGTTCAGTATTTTATGGAAGGGAAGAGAAGGAGTAATTCTGATGAGATGTAGGCTTTTAGAGATGTTATTTCTATTTTGCAGTATTGATTTGGCCACCCAATGCATCTCTCAGTGGGAAGGCTAAAAGTGTTGTCCAGCTCCTCTATCTTCTCAATTGTGATAGGGCATCTTTACAATCCATGAAGTGCAGATGTAATCAAGCTCCTCTCCTTCTGAAAAAAACAGAATAATTTTCTCTTACAATGCTGTGTGACTAGGCAGAATCAGTCTCTAACTACTGTTCATACATTTCTGCAATGCATTATGAAATATTTGTCAATAATTTGACTTTCCAAGCATGTAAAAGCATGTATGGCATAAAACATTTAGTTTCTCTTTTGAGGTGGTGGTGAAATTTATTTATTTATTTTCATCAGCTTAGTTAAAAGAAGATTATTGTAGCTGGGCTACATCTATTAGAGCTGCAGTTTATTAATTTGCTTACTTTCTCTGTTCTTGAAATGTGTGCGAGTGAAAGGAGCAGCCTGTCTTAGAGTTGCTTTATCAAGCTTTGTAGAGCTTTGTAAAAGACCTTATACTCTCTGAAGGGTATGTAATTCAGAGCCCCACCAAAAAGGAATTTTGGTCACCATACACCTTGTGAATGTAGGTTTTCCTAACAAAAGGAGAAGAATATTTTTAGGTCAGCCATATGATGGTTACTATTGGTATCCTTTCTTTGTAGAAGGGTATTGCCTCCTCTGTATCAGAAGTTTTGAGAAGCAGTGATGGTCTTTGACCATTTTGTAGTGGACCACAAGGTGTTCTTTCCTCTTATTTCATTAAAGCAGCACTTAGATTAAATTGTCTACCTCTGACTTCCTGGCTGTGTTAGATTGTAGTAGCTTGGGGAATGGCAGCATTCTCTTGTTCTGGGCTTTTTTGTTGGGTGAGTTTTGTTGGTTGGTTGGTTTGTTTGGGTTTTTAAATTTTTTCTAAAGCGTATTACTTTTTCAAGAACTATTTAAACATTGACGTAGTCCTGTATGTAAGCTTGACTTCTTGAGTCAAGCTGTAAAACAGCGATGACGTTTTAGATACTGACATTCACAACTGCAACATTATGATAAAGCTAGAAACCTTTATCTAACAGCGTAATTGCTATAACATTAACCCCCACCACACTGCTGCTTTAAGATTACAGCTGCTAACACAGGTTTATTAAAGGATTGCCACAGTAGTCAGCACTTGGCAAGGTCTGTTTTCTCCTTTCAAGGTTGTTACAACTAATAATTGCCAAACCATAGTGACACCACTGTGCGATTGTTTATAGAGGTAACTTAGCTTTGTTTCCACCCAAACCTTGTTAGGTCCTGATGCTGCCACACAAGAGCTCAAGCCAGCAAGCAAGCAGAACGCTAATGTGTCAGAGTATGAGATTGTCCTACCTGGTGAGTTTGTTACTTTTTGTCTTAACAATTATTTTCTATTGTATGTGAGTACACACAAACTTTCATATGAGAAGCATCTAGAATGGCAAGCTCTTGATAAAATGAAGGTGTTCACAGTGAGCATGTGATGAGCCCAGTGAAAGGTAAGTACTTTTATGTTATTATTAACTTCTCTGTTCTGGTAATAACTGTTTTGCAGTGGAGAATCAGATTCCTGTTTTTATTAAAACTAAAAGTAAAACTAATTCATCTCTCTTCCTCCAAATCAATTGAAATGATATTTTTTGGACTAGTGAATCCACTTGGAGAGACCACATAAACTAGAGTACTTGCTGAGTAGCAGGTGTTAATTTAACAACACTGCAGGAGTTAAAGTGTGGAGAACAGCAAAAATAAACCTGTTCCTAATGAAGTTATAATCCTAATATGAAGTTCTCAATTGCCAGATAATATTCTAGAATAAATTTATTGGATAGCTGAATAAACTGATCTAATTGAAATATCTCTGGAAGATTTGTAGAGAATTGGTGTGACATTTTAAGGATGTAATTTTGCAGCATTTATGCTGCATTTTCTTCTAGCAGGAAACTTAAAAGTACTGTTTCCTGTTCTGGTATCTGCACTCTTAGTACAGGGATGCCCCAAATATCAGTCTTGCTATTGGTTAATCTTAAACATCATCAGTTTTTATGTTTCATTCATTCAAATTTTAAAATTTTATAAGGGATAGATACTGCTTTCAGCTAGTGTAATTAGTCTGACTGTGAAACTTCTGCTGCTGTGAAACCAATTCCAGTTGCAAAATTATTTTGATCATAAACAACCTCAACAAGCTGAGTTACGCTTGGCTCTTTTATTCAGCCTAATTGCCCTAATAAATTAGTTTCTTCCATTGCAGTTGCTCTTCAATGGAAGACTGAGGTGCTACACTTGTAAGTTTATCTCCAGTTCAACAGATCGAAAGTATTTTGGCCAGCACTCACAATTCTGGATATGCTGTTCTTCAAGTTGTACATGTCTCTGCCAGACCCAGTACAGTTCACTTACTCTGGATCTAGTGCTGTCACTCCAGTGAGACTTCGCTGCTGACTTAGTAATGACTTGCATTACTAAGGCAGTGAGCTGTACTAAAAATGCAGCAGAAGGAGCGATGGGTGCTGCTGCCTATTACCTGTTCCCAACAAACATCTCCTGTAGAAAAGCAGGTTGAGTTAACCTTCAGGCAACACAGTCAGACCCTCACACTACACTCACCACAGCTGGCTCAATGAGAGAGGCAAGAAAGGCTCTTTTTGCAAGGTTTTATTCCAGTGAGGTCACATGAGGCTAAAGGGAACCTGGTGAGAAAGAGAACCACCATGGGTTGCAGGCAGCTTAAGAAGGGGAAGGGCTGGGGGACAGAGCTAAGGGCTGGGCAGAGGGGACTGGTCTCCAAGGGCAAGGGCGAAGCCACCAGGGGTATCCAACCAATGACGGAACAGGGAAAGGAGAAACCTGGGGAAGTCCATGGGGGAGTCTGTCTTTTCGCCCCAGAAGGACTCCTGTATGGTAGTTAGTCACTGCCATCACCAGGGCAGAGGACTTGGGAATTGACTGAGAGCAGAGAGTTCATGGGCTGCTACACTGTACTTTAAAACTTCATTTTCTCTTGGAAAGAATGTGAGCTGTGCAATACATCTATTTTTTTTTTTTTACTACCATATACTACAGAATATATCTAGAATTGACGTGATACATGCATAAATTTTCTTGGAGTATTTAGATGACTAAGCACACTTCTATCCAGAAGGCACGAATGAAAAGGCCAGTTATGAAATAAAATGTCAGTACTAATGGGTAAAACATCCAAAGTGTTTTCTTATAGAAGGCTGTTTCTATGGATCAGAGAAGATATTTGCTGTTGATACCTGCTTTTTGGATGTGCTTTTATGCTCAGGAACCTATAGTCATAAAAAGCAAAAAACTGACAGGTTTTCCCTACTGTATTGGAATATGTTCTCACTGTAACTCTGCTGACTTGCCAGGAAGGCAAAGGTGGCCCTCAATGAATTTGAAGAGGATATGAGGTCCACTTGAGTAACTGTAGGCATGAAAGGCCTGATTCAACAATGTTAAGATTGCAGATCTTATCAATAGCTTCCCTAGCAATACAATATACCTGTGATCTCACAGTATAATAAGTCTGCAACTGGCTAAAATCCAAATAGTTACAGTTACTTATGTCTTAGCTCTTCTTGATGTTAATATAATTTTCTATATCCATATTAAGTTCTTAAGCTTTTACATTATTTAATCCAAACCAAAAATGTTAAGTCAGTCTTGTAAGTCTGTCTTCATTGCAGTAAAATGAGTATCTGTGCTTCTGTATTAGGGCCCCCTAGGAAGTTTACATACAAAATAGGAGTGTGTTAATTTTGTAAAGGGATATGTGTTTTAACTCAGGTATTACTTACGAAAATTGCTGTGAAACTCTGATTTTGCAGGGGCTTTTTTTCCCTGGAGAATATAAAGAGCACCTGTGTCCACCTGTAATCCTGTATATGTTAACACAGCCTCTGAAGTTTCTTCACCCAGAATGAGGAAATATGTTTTTTCATTAAATGTTTTTAAACTCTTTATAGGTGTGTCTGAAAAAAATATCTCTTTGGCCAATCCAACTAAAGTTGAACTTACATGCAAATTAGATGAGAATTCCAATCTGAAAAATCCTCAGGTGACTTGGAAAAAGGGAAGTGAAACAATCAGTCACACCAGTAAAACTCAGAACAGCTGGACCATTGAGTAAGTAGCATTCTTTATGTTGTGATTTGCAGATTCTAATGAATTACCATCTTATATACAGTGCCCAATACTAGTAATATGTATTTAGGAAAGGGAAAAATGCAGAGATGAATCAACATACTGAAGCAGTCAGAAAGGAGAGATTGAAGGTACCTTAAGCCTGGAGGATGAGCACCTGTTTTTCCTCTAGTGCATGAAAAACAAGTTTTTTTTAAAAAGAGAACATAGAATAATGAAACAGTTCCTTGAAGTCTTGTAATTCTGTTCAGTAAGTGAAATAATAATCAGTCTGAGATTAAAACATTTTAGCAATTTCTCTTTCCACTCCCCCCTTTTCCACATGCTCTTTTCTACCTCATTGCTAGGCTACGTCATTTCTACCTTTGCAAGGGTCTGGAAGGCATCAATGATCGTTTTCTTTCCTTCATAGGTAACAAAAAGTAGAAGTGAGATTTACAGTAAAGATATTTTGAAGGTTTTCTTAAGTCTTTCAGACCTCCACAGAAGCTCAAAAAATGTTGTAGAAGCCTTTTTACAATTGATACAATTTATTGTTGTTCTTTAGAATTAGGCCAGTTAAACATTTTAACTGATTGGTCTCCATTTGATTTCTGTACAGCTTTAAGAGAAGTAATACTTACATAAAATTTCTATTTTAAAAATTTTGACGAGAATATAACTGTCACTTTCTTGATACTCCATGTACACAGACATGTAAATCTTTTTCAAAGTGACAGTAAAATGTTTGGTTTGCTGGTGGAGAAGATGCTGGAATTCATTAGATGAAAATACTTTAAAACTGTTTCTTTATTTTGTGTTGAAGAGATTACATAAATGGTTTGTTTTTCCTAAAGCCCTATGTAGGATATGCTTCACAGTTCACATGGAGAACCCATGTCTAATTCAGTAATCTGTAGATAATGCTACTTAAAGGTGGCCTTCCATCACCATGAAAGGTAAAAATGTTGTTTATGATCCAAAGTGTGCTTGTGCTTTTCTGTTTTCTTAAAAACATTATGCCATTTCTGCATTGCACTAGACCTGAATCCTAGTGTTTCAGTGGTGGTATGTTCCCTGCTCCATTACTAATCCTTACTGTTTTCTTTAGAATGATAACTAGCAGTCACTTGTGGTGGTACAAAAAGGAAATATAAAAAAACCTCCAAATTCATGAATTTTTTTTTTTTTTTAAGATTGACCATCTCAGGGAGCCATGAGCTGGGAAGTTACACTTGTATTCTGAAGGCTGAAAAAGAAGTCAGTGCTACATTTCATTTGCACGGTAATTTAATTGATTTGTATTTGTTTAAAATTTTTGTTCCAGCTGACTACTGCAAAGCTGTGTTAATATTCTTTCTGGATAGTATGGAAATTGTAATGCAATTTGATAAGTAATGGCTAATACAGTCAGGCTAAGTGAGAATAACTATTGAAGTAATTTCATTAGCATGGATTGAAGAATTTTGAACCAAAACCTAAAAGCCTTTTAAAAAATTCTAATATACAAAAGAGCATACAAGTCTGTTTTTTACTCTTGACTAAGTGATTTCCCCTTCCCTCTCCATCTCTGAAACAAATGTGAGTACACTTCACTTTCTGGAGCATGGGATTAAAGGATGGTGGCTTGGATAAATTTCTTCAAAAAGCAGAGCCAATAATTTGAAATTTGAGTCTGAGGTTAGGTGTTAAAAGTGAAGTAGTGATTGGTAAAATGGAGGCAGGATTTAAAAAATTCTGTTGGCATTTCTGAAACACAACATTATTGCTTTAGTGCTTATTTTATTCTGTAATGGTATAAGAATAGTACTTAGATGAACAATTAGTGTGCTTCATTGAGCAGTATGAGTGCCCTTTCTTCTGTTTTGTTGTCTTCTCCAATAATGTTACCTGGAAGTAGGAGGTAGGTGAAATTCAGATCCATGGGAGATATGTGGAAATGATAATACAAGTTGCTGAACTGATGAATATCTCTAGTGGGAGTTACTCCTTTCTCTGTTCCTACCATCCAAATTTTGCGAAGAGGAAGGCATGCATTTCATTTGTGAAGATGGATATAGGAGAGATTTTCCCTAAACACAGGCTCTGAGAAAACCTAACTATTCAAATCATTACCCTAACCTTAGCTAAATTAAGCAGTGGGGCTCTCTAATTCTTAAGCTGCCAAACTGCCTTTGTTCAGTGGGATATCCAGTAATAAGACTTGAGGAAACTTGCAGGCGTTCAAATGTCAAATATTGAGACCTGCTTTCAGACCTTCAGTCAGGAGAGACTAGTGTTCGGTGCTCAATAAAGACAAAGTTGTAGTTTATTCAGGCCTTTTAATATCTAAAAAATAATTATGTATTTTTCTTGCCAGCGTATGGGTAAGGTTTAGTCAAATAGCTAACCAAGTTGGTGCAGATGGAAAAAAATCCCAGGAGATCTTATCTTTTTTTTAAGTACATAATAACTATTACAGTAAGGGCAGCAATGACTCAATAGGAAAGTCATCTTTTCCAGAGCAGTGCATAGGATGGTTGATCTATTGTAGGAAGATCAGAGAACTGCTGCATGATGGTTGAATGCTGCCACTTCTGATGCTATAAAAAGTACTGGCTTGATGCTTTTTAAGATTAATGCAAGAGTGAAGGAAATGGGAAAGAGAAGTCCTTGAATCTTCCAGTCAGTAATGCAGGGAGAACAATTTTCAAACTGAAAGATGAATAATGTGTTGGTATAGACTCAGTGGCTTAAGTCATCACTGCTGTAACTAACTGCAATACCTTTTCCACAAGGCAGTTCTGAATTATTGCATGTGTTACCTCTCCTCTTCTTTCCCCCTGATTCCTGGCCTGATTTTGAGGAGTCGTGTTTTTTCTCAGGTTTGCAGAAAACACTGAGATATTTACAGGTTCAAGTTAATAAACACAGAAGACAATAATAGGTGTTATAAAATGTTGTGAAGTGCTGCTAGACTCTAAGAGTGTAGAACAGATTAATTTCTTTGCCTTTTGTTGAGGGACCTTTAAGCAGCAGTTAAGGTATGTGCACCATGAAATTGCTCTGGTTTTTAAAACTGTGTGGAAATCTGAGTGGTGTACATGCTGGTGCTGACACCTGTCTGTTTCTTCAAAAGTTGGCTTTCTCTGTGCAGCAGAAGTATTTTGTCATCAAATTTGGTGTCATCCACTTGCAGAAATACCTGTGATAAGCCTTGCAGGCATTCAAGGATTAGCTGTTAGAGAGCCAGATCCTAGAGCTTGTAATGGATATTCATATCCTTAATCATGGCTGATGTGGTCACATGTATTACTGACATGCTTATGGCTGAGCTTTGTCACTCACTAGTGTGGCGAAGTATCTTTGACTTCCACATAAGCATGTTGTGCTGGGTGTACAGGGTTTTTTTTTCCTAACCTGCTGGTGTTTCTTGTGCTCTAAATTGCAAGGGAGATTGCAGCAGTAATTAGTGAGGTCATCCCTATAATGGCAGCAGAGAAGATACACAGCCAGTACTCTTTTAAAGGATAGTGTTTAATGATTAAAATAGATACGTTGAGAGAACTTCACTAGTAGTCTTGATATATAGTGCTGCAAATTTTGAGACTGAAAACAGTGTTCTTATTAACAAATTGGTTTCATATATATTTCTGTATAGGAAACGTAAGTTTGAATACACATGAGAAGTAGACTTTAGTGGGAGAAAAAATAATTTGTGCTAACCAGTCAGGAAGGGGTGAGGACAAGAACAATCTTAGCTTGTATCAAATTGTTCATCATAACTGCTGAAAGCAAATACTTGGCCTATTTAATCTAGTGTTATCAGTAAAATCTAAAGTATGTACTGGATCTGTACTTAAAAAATATAGCAATGAAATTTGAAGTAAAATTTAAAATTAGTGGATCTGAGGAAGACATATTCGTAAACATCCTAATAAAGAGGGAAAGGAAGGGGAAATACATACTTCAACATAATGCATTTGCTAAGCTCTAGCAGTATTTATAGGATAGTCTCTATATATTCAATAAGCTTTCTAGGTACTACATGCTTTTGGAAGTTTGTGGGGCAGAAGCAGTTACCAGTAGCTCTAAAGTTAGTCTGATTTCTTGTTGACTGTATTCTGTCCTCAGCAAGATTGGACCAAAAGTCTTTTTTTATTGGCATGCACCCAAAAGTCATTGCTTCAGCTCAGAAATGTTTAACTACAAATCTCTATCAGTCTGCAGCTTTTTCTCAGTTACAGAACCATTCTCTGTATGTACAACATGTCAGATACCATTATATAGTCACATTGTGACTGAAATAGACTTCTAGCAGTTTCTGCAGATGGAGTGAAATTGCAGGAAAATTACGTTCGTTTCTACTGTACTAGAACTGAAGCATGTAGCTGGCAGCTGCCAAGAAAGGGAAAGAGGAAATGGGCAAGGGTAGAAATCACAGTCTGATTTTTCTTTCTCTTGACATTTGGTATTAATTGGCAACTTCCAAGATCACGCAGCAGCTGAAAACAGGATTCTGCTAGTCTTCTGCACAGATTATATATCTGAAATAGCTGCCCAAAATAACTCCTCGTGTCATAAATGATAGAATCATGAGGGTTTTAAATAGAAAAAGTGAATGGAGTACTATAAATGAATACCTAAATATATTCTTTGTAACAATAATGAAAACCTGTGTTTCTCATGTGATGATTTTTTTTTCTCCTTGTTCTTAGTACCAATCATTGATGGAAGAGAAAAACCCATAATCTCTTATGAAGGGGATATAGCTGTGATGGTTTGTACAACTGTGTATAATCCCAAGGCCTGGGCCTGGTATATGACCAATGGAACTGAGCTGGTAAGATCTCCCTCTGTTGGGCAAGCAAGTATGACAAAAAAAAAATTATGTATACTTTGTACTTCACTGCAAGCTCTACAAATCCCATTTCCATTAACTTTAGCAGAAACCTTTATGGAAATGGAAAAAATATCTGTAGTATTTACAATATTCATTTTTATAGGGATGTAGTTTTTTTGATCTGGTTTGTATGTTTCTTTCTGAAAAAGGCCCTATCATACTCTGAAACAAGGTGAGTCTTGAGAGACTTTTTTGACTGTATTTATACTGGTTATACTACTCAAGTCTTGCTACTGGATACAAAAATAATCGTACAGCAGGACATGCTTTCACCTCTAAGATGTTGTAGGACCCTTTACTTCCTCCAGGTACAAGTAATTCTATTTCTTAGCCTTATGACCTATCTAGAAAGCACAGCTTCCTAAAACACTTCTTTTTAGCCCTCTTCTGAGGCCGGCGCTGTCAGCTGAGAGAAAGTAAAGAGATCCGTCTCTTTATATGGCTGGAGACCAGTACTGACTTTAAGAGTATCAGTGTATTTCCCAGTGAAGGAGAGCTCCCTCTTCCACTTCCTTGAAAGTATGTGTTTTATGCTGTGGTGAAACTCATGCATTAGTTCTGGCAGCCAAGGATGCCTTTGTCATTGGAGAGTTGATATCGCTAAAGGTGCCTTTTGTCCAGTCTTAAATAAACTAAAACAGGTCAGACAATTTGCCCACTGAAACTTCCAGTGAGTTTAGAAGGAGTTAGGATGTCCAGCTAAAATAAGCCCTTCCCTTTAATGTGGGGTTATTGTACTTCATGAATGCCTTTTGTTCCTAATTCATTGCACATATTTATATAGAACTGAATGTTGATGTGATACTGTTTGATTAAATACCTCCTCATTACATTATTAAGACTTGCAATATATTTTTTTCTAGGTTCCCATTGATAAGATGTTACCTGTGGACAAGTTTCGAATTAAGAGTCCATCTGTCAGTATAAACCGTTTGGAGGTAGTCAAGCTTACCAGGGAAGACTGTGGTGTGTATTGGTGTGAAGCTGCTTTTGAATTAGGGCCCAGTAAATCAAGATTTGAACTTAGAGTTCTGTCCATCGCAGCACCTCTCAAACCCTTTGTAGCAGTTGTGGCTGAAGTTGCTATTCTTTTAATTAGTATTGCCCTCTATGAGATTTATTCGAAAAGGAAAGCAAAAGGTAAGTTTTGGTGAGGGGTTTTTGGTTGGTTGGTTTGGGTTTTTTAATTAATTTGTAGCTTTCTGTTGAAATTACAGTCAAAAGTGGAAAAGACCTAAAGTGCAGCGTATATGAAGTTGAGTCATTTTCACGTCTGTATTTCTGCTAAAATTCTTTGATCTAAAGCACTGCTATGAAAAGAGCTTTCTTTAAGCAATACTTATCCATAACAGTTTTGAAAGAGTCCTGGGTTTTTTTCCCCCTTACAATACAAGAGATTTTGAGACTATAATTTTTGGGGGAATGCTTAGGAATGGAAGCAATTCTTGGTAGCCTTGATTAAAGAAGTTTCTTTAAAGACATTTTGTAAGAAGGAGAAATGCATGTGTCTAGTACAGACATAAATTCATGTTGTCTATATTTTGAAATACAGAAATATATAAACCTCTATATAAGATGATTTGTATTAAAGTCAGACTAATAAAACCTTATCAAAATAAGCTTTTTCACCACTTTGGAGGTAATTCCCTTGAATAGATGTACAAGGTGATCTGAAATACATATTTAAGAAAGCTTACAAAATAAATAACATTTTGTTCTTATTAAACAATTGCTAAATGTACTAAACATTATTGTTTAGTATTTAAATAATAATTTAAATAAACAATATTCTATTGTTTATTAAATGGATAATTCTATATAGTAGCTCTTTTGTTCTGCAGGAGGTGAAAAACAGTTTGACCAAATTGAGAAACTGTAAGCAAAAATGTTCCTATACTCTAGTTCAATATTTGTTCTTATGTGTATTTGCACTGTATAAAATTATACCTTGTTTTTGATCCCATTGGTAAGGGGGATGGTGGTCAATGTGAAAGAAGGGTTTATTCTTTTCCTTAAGAATTCCTAATTTCAGAGTGAGCAGAACACTATTTTCTAAATGGAAATTGATTTTGAAATTGCAGTATCTTTTTTTGGTGGTGTTTTTTTGTTTGTTTGTTTTGTGTCAGTTTTGGATTTTTCTTGTTTCATTTTGTGAGAACACCATGTGTCCTCATTAGAAGCTCATTCTGGAAGACTATAACTGCATGGAAATAACTTCCAGGTGAAAGTGTAACAGAAGTGTCTGTTTTGTGGGTTTGTTTTTTTTTTGTTTCGTTTTGTTTTTTTTTTTCAAAGTGTATTTGTCCATGTTAACATGCCTTTCTCCACCATGCATGTGGTCAAAGCCTTAACTCTCATATCTAAGCCTGTAGTTGCTGGGGTGTTGGGAGCTGGCATTGTTGGCTGTTTTGGGTGCAAATGCCAACCTCTCAGGAGATTTCACACTGTGCTGGTAAGCTTCAGCTTCCTGTGCTGTGTTGCTGTAACCAAAGGAGCAGGTGTAGGCACTTCTTGCTGTTCTGCTGTTCCAGGGTTTGTGCTCCCATGCTGGCTCCCCTGTCCTTAGGATCTTATATTTCTTCAGGCTTGCTTGCTAAAGTATGCTGTACTTGTCTCTCTGCCCATCCCCTGAAGCCGGGTTCCCTTATCTAACCTGTTTACCTCCTAAAACAAGAGGAAAGTTGCCTAACAGGTCATTTAGATGGGTCCAGTCTACTCTAGTTTTTGTCATCTTGATCCCTTCTCTCCTGCTGTGTTTGTTTGCCTTTTTCTTCTGACCCTTTCTTCTCTTTCCCTCGTAGATTTTTTTCCTGCAATGATCTTTGTATTGTCCTGTATTGTATTCACTTTCTTATTCCTTTTTTCAGTGCTGAAGATATATTTTGGTGCTTTTCCATTTCCCTGAACAGACTTAAAGCTCCTACTCAGTTACAGTATAAAGTGGGAGTATATCTTGGGAATATAGTATTCTATTACACTGCTGAATGTTTGGGGATATGTCTTGAGTTGAAAATTGATCAATTGTCTTTATTGTGCAGCCTGCTTCTCATAAACATACTGAAAATACTAGGATGGTAACACAGAATAGTTCACTAAAATACTGGTTTTGCCCATGGGGGATGTGGTTCTGTACAGCTGCTTAATCTTTGTGTAATTCTTATATACATGCATACAAGGAAAATTTAATTAACTATGTACTTCCCTGATTCAAGAACTGAAAGTTATTTCAACTATTGGCTGTTTAGAAGATGGATTTGTGTACTGGAGAGTGGCTCCAAAGGAAAATGTCTGGTCTGTTATGTCAGGGGATGACTAATACAGCTGTATTTGGTTGATGAGTCTATAATTAAATGTCACATCCAGAAGTGCATTTAGGTTGTAGCCTAGTGAATCACAAACTTTTTTTTAGCAAGAGAACTTTCTATTCAAGTGTTTTTTGTGATGCACAGCATAATAGCTAGTTTCAGTTATTCCAGAAGGAAACTGGGAATGATTGTGCTGTCTTACTGTTCAGTTTTGGAATTTACCCTTTTCTTCTTGTGTAGGTCAGAAGACAATGTAACTGGGAGACAAAAGTAGTTCTATGCAGAGAGGGAAGGTTCCTTTAAAGGTGAGTAAGAGATGAGGGACCAGAGTTTCCTTTTCTCTTGAGCAGCCTAATACTAGGACAAAGAAGTCCGCTTTGCCATCCCAATCTTTTTTTTTAATGTGCGAGCAACACAGTAATTATAAAATTGTTTAGGTCAAGTAAGATACAGTTGAACAAGAAATCAAGTTCAAATAATTTAAACTCAATTGTGTTGTCATTGTGATTTACTAGTTCCGTTAACCCATGTAGTCTTTAAATTGGGACCCAGGTTAACCTGCTTGACCTGCTTGGTCATGAAAGAATCCAGTGAATGCCAGGGAAATGCTGAAATGCATAAGAGGTGCTGCTGTGTTCAAAAACCCACTCTTTCCATCGGTATTTTGGGTGTCTTTATGAAGGAAGGCTCCTCTGTAATAGCACACTGGGAATATGAAAGTTCTGGAGAGATGTAGAGGAGTCTGGGAAAGAAGACTGAGCTTAATAGACAGTGACTGGAAAGGACTAGCTGTAGAATGAGGAAGCAGAATGTATGTATGTTGCATCACCTTCGTTGCTGGTGGCAGGAGCAGCCCTGGAAATGGATCAGCTATGAGCGTGGCAGTAAATAAAATAGGAACAGGTATGACTGGAGTGCTCAAAAATCAAAGTTTAATAAAGAAAAAATAAAAGGTGTGCTAACAATAAATTCTCAATAAAAACATGAGCTATACACTGTACAGAGCTACTCCAGAAGATCATAAAATGAGATAAGCACAAATACAGAGGGCAGGGAACAAATGAAGTGAACAAAGAGAAGCAGAAACCGTACCTTACACAGAACACAAGACTAATCAGAAAGCAAGGTTCATAACATAACCTTATATGGAACAATTTAGTCTGCATAACCGCTGTTACCATTCCTTCTCACCCTAATTTGTGGGGAATGCCCAGAGCACAGCCCTGATAAAGCTGTATAATGAATTTCCTGATTTTCTGCCCTCTTCACAGTCTGATTATAGGCTGTTTCTACTTATGCCATCTGGAAATGCTTGTCAGAGCACTCTGTCAGTTGAGGACCAATCCTACACACACTTCTCTTCTGCATCTGGCACCCCAGTCTCTGATCTGTAGATGATAGGTGTGAATGACTTTGCATTCATGTGACTGCTGGTTCATCCTCACCACAAGTCTTCTACCTGAGTAAAGACTGTTACCATACCCTTTGTTTTAAAGAATAGAAGGAAACATGTCAGGTAGAGTTCACATAAAAAGAGTAACAACTCAGAAAATGATCCAGAACAAATACTTTCCAAGATTATGTGGTCTCTGTTCCTCCTAGGTTTAACCCCAGCTAGCAACTCAGCCCAATGCAGCCATTTGATTTTACTCTCTGGTGGGATTGGGGAGAGAATCAGATGAGTGAAAATGGGTGATCTTAGGGGCTGAGATACAGACAGCTGGACAGAAGAAAGCAGAAGCTGAACAGAAGCAAAGGAAAGAATTCATTCACTCTTTCTTACGGGCAAGCAGGCATTCAGCTGTCTCCAGGAAAGAAGGGCTTCATCATGTTCGAACATGTGTTATAGCTGTTTGGGTTAATCATGAAAACAAATGCTGTGACTCAGAATGTGTGCTCCTTCCACATTTCTCCTTCTTCCCCCATATTTACATGCTGAGCATGATGCCCTATGGGATGGAGAATCCCAGTGATCAGCTTGGGGCAGGTGCTCTGCCTGTGTCACTTCCCAGCTCCTTGATTCCCCCAGCCTTCTTGCTGGCAAGGGAGAGGACAAGGCCTTGTGATAGTGTAAGCACTTCAGAGCAATACCTGAAACATTACTGTACTATCAATGCTCTTTCCAGCACAGATCCAAACCTAGCATTGTACCATATGCTGTGAAATAAATTATTCCAGTCAAAACCAGCACACAAGGATTTCTCTTATGTTGGATTTGAGGTTTCATTCTTAAAAAGTTCTTTTGACATCTAGCACTGAGTAGATAAATAAGGATTCTTCTCAGGGAATCACCTGCTTTGTCTTCATATACAGTGTCAAAAGTTTTAATGTCTTTACATGATAAATGCCAGTTGCTCTCTATAATTTCCTGAAAATAGGTTGTAGCAAGGTGGGGATCAGTCTCTTTGTCCAAGTACTAAGTATCAAGTTGTAGTACAGGAGGCAATACCAAGTTGTATCAGGAGAGGTTTAATTTAGTTTGGATATTAGGAAAGCTTTATTCACTGACAGGGTGGTCAGGCACCAGAACTGGTTGCCCAGGGAAGTGATGAAATCTTCAACCCTGGGCCTGCTCAGAAGGTGCTGAGTTAATGGTTGGGCTTGCTGGTCTTTTGTAACCTAAAGAATTCTGTGATTTTATTTGCAAATTGGACCATTAAAAAAAATGATATATTGATTAGAATTAAGTTTATTTTCAAACAAATACGGGAAAATATGAAGCAGCAAAATAACAGAACTTGTATTATAATGAAATGTGTTTATTCTTTTTTATTGCAGGAGATTTAAGGCAGTAGAAGTGGAAATCATCACAAAGCTATAGAAGATGTATGCAGCTACTTAAACATTCACTATGTTTTGAAATAGAGTCCTCTACATTTGAGAAATAAGACTCTTTTAAAATAGCTCTGAAACGACTCATTTTATATAGATGATAATAGGATATATTGTACTTAGATGTTTATCTGTAACATTTTACTCCTAGCAGGGTGTTTTTTATGTGATTAGGCTTACTTTTGGTTTATGATTGATCTGTTTGATTTTTATCTCCTAAATTGGAACTAGTGTTGTATTCACTGAAAAAATGGTTAATGTAGAGTGGGCATATTATCTGAGTGTTATAAAACTGGATACATACAATTGATAAGTATTTCCACCAAAGAAAATGCCTTTTACTAGCTGATGAAGCAAATGTAATGCAGCTGTTTTTACCAAAGAAATGGTGAAAGGGAGATCTTTATCAGGGCTTAAATGAAACTTTTAAGAGTTGTGATTTATTCTGAATAGTAAATTGTGTTAATTCTAACTTTTCTTAGCTTCATTCTCAGTTCAACTATATTGTAGTCCTTAGTAGGCAAAACATTAAGCTGCCATACAGCTCAGATATTTCACAGAATATGAAAGAAGTATTGGGGATACAGTACCTTCTCAGACTAAAACTGCAATAATTCCTTCTGCTTGAAAAAATTATTGCACTCTCTGGGGCTGCAAACCCAAGTTATTATAATTTATATGGAATGCTGAATTTTCAGGAATATACCTATATATGCTTCTCATCATACATACTGTCTAGTTGGTATTTCTGCTTCTTTCAGCAAACTGTTGTTTCTCAAACTCCTTGCAAACCATGCAGTGGATCTTGAGCAGCTAAAATTTCCAGGACAATAGGATGAAACAGCATTGAACACCACAACTGCTCTTACACAAAAAATTTAACACTGCTGTTAATGATTTACAGTATTGCTTTTGAAGAGTGAGTTGCCATAATACTGTTTAGCTACATTATGCATTCAGCGATTGAAATGTTTAGCTAATAAGACAACAGTTGGTTTCATCAGTTGCCTTTGCTTGAAATAATTAAAGCATCAATTTTGAGAGGAAGAAATAAAATCTTCAGAAAAATACCTTTTCTCCATAAAAATCTAAGGAAAAATGCAGCATTTGCAGACTCCATAAGAAAGTGAAAGAAGAAAAAAAATACACAGAACTTCTTTGTACTGGTCATTTTTCTTTTGAACATAAAGGAAGGTAAAAAAAACAGATAAAACAGATTGAATTCCCTTCCTTGATTTTTTTTTTCTACTTTACTGTTCTTATGGGTTTGAAAAATACCAGAAATCCTAGCCTTAGCTGTTTTGTTGGAAATGGGAGATAAAATCCAGTCAGACCTATGCTTTTTTGGTTTTCATAATTCGTTTTCTAGTCTGAAAAACTACAAGTTAAGGTCCAAATAAGACACAATGAGAAATATAAAAGCACTGGGTGATTGACTGTAAGGAGTGAACACTGATACAGGTTCCCGTTGCTTAGATACTGTTTATTGTATTTTTGCCTTGGAATTTCTATGCACTATTAAAAACAGAAGGCATCTACAGTTTTTTATATTAATTTCTCATTAATATAATTGATGCTTTCATTGTAGCAAGTAAATGTGGGCAGTTTCAAAACTTTTACTTCTGTAAATGTTTGTAAATTGGCACATTTTAGAGTTTGTAGTAATTTGCTTCATGTAGGCAGTTAAATAGTAAAAAAGGAAGTCTTACTTAGAGAACTAAGAATTACATTCTGAATAACGCAGCATTAATATATTTTGCAAAGGAAATGAGACTAGATACTGTCTGGGAAAAAAAACTGCCAGTTAATCAGGAATAGTAATAATCTTTCTGCCTTCATATAGTATTCCTACTTGATCTTGCAGTTGAGCTGTAAAGTCTTGGCTAACATAGGCAAGTTATACAGACAGATAGTTTTTTGGCATTAGCAGGGAAAACCTGGATTTTGCACGGACTTTAGAAGCAGCAAATCTTAGATCTTCTAGGACTATATTAGCTTGGTCAGAGTGGCTGCTGAAACTATAGCTTTGTCTTGACCTACCTGTAGCATGTTCTGCTTACTTTTTCTGAGGGTTTGGTGTTTATTTTTAGGTTGGTGAGTAGTTTTTTGTCATTATAATGAGGTTTTTTTCTATGCATGTTCTCCTAGGTTAAACCCATTTGGGCTTGCCCTATGGAGGGGAATAACAAGCAATATTTAAATGGTAACTATTAAGTAATTGACATAATTAATGGTCAACTTCAAAGGCATAAACTCTGCTTTTCTTGCTCCAAGTACCACAAGAAACTCTGGAAATTGTGAAATTTATCTTTTGAGAAGTATGTGTTGTTTATGTTCAAAATATTCCCATTGCAGTTGCTTTATGATCTTAGCATTGAATAGAACAAAACTTTTTAACTTTAAAAAATCTTAAAACTCTAGGCAGTGATTTTTTTTTTTTTACTTCATTCAAGCCAGGAGATACCAAATAAGATCCATAACAATTGTGAAATTTCTTTCAAACAGCAGTTGGAGCTAAGTGTACGAATCCACAAAATTAGTTTTAATAACAAAATATTGACAGACTTACATGGGTAGCCCGAATCTTAAAACTACACGTGTTTAGCAAATTTAGTCTTCCAAGATTAAAACCTTTTCTTGCAAGTGGGGATATATTACTGGATTTTAGACCAGCAAAAGTCTTACCAGCTTCATAGAAGAAAAGGTTAAAATCTGCAAAAGAATCCTGAAGGGCTCTTTCCTAAAACTTCAAGATGCTACAGTGCATATTCTTCCTGCCCTTTGGAACAAAGTAGACACAAGCAGAAGATGGACAAATATTAGAAGAGCTTCCAAACTGGGGGTTCAAATAGAACTGCATTAGGTCCCATTACAGAAGAGATACTAAACATTTCCCTGCAGTTGTTCAGCAAAATTGATTAGCTGTATGTCCTTTGACACATGTAATCCTGGGGAAGAGAGGGACAACTCATCAGTACTGATGTTGCTACTAGAATCAGCATCTGTGTGCCTCTTTCTTTTTCAGCCAGAAAAAGTGCCTTTAACTTGTCCCTTAGAGCCTCTGAACAGTTGACTGCTGAGCAATGAAAATTGAAAAGAAACTGATTGGTACCTTAAGGGCAGGGGAGGTTTTTTTGAGATGAGTGGTACTCTTAAGTTTTGAGCTGCCCAGCATGTATTGTCTGACCACAGCTGCATGATGATTCAGTTCTAGCTGTATGCTCCTCTGAAATGGGAAGGTGGGGATTGTGAGGAAGCAACCAGATGAGAATGTTGTAGGGACATGGGAAGGAACTGCATTTTAGTGTTGTGTAGGGGTCCAGAGGGACAGACAGCAGAAGCTAAGGCGACTTACTATTAGACATGTACAGGGAAGACTGAATGCACATCTGTAGGAGAAAACATGTTTTCAGTTGTACCACTCAGACTGTGTAGGAAGTTTTGTACAGCAGCTGAAAATAATGTGCCATTGCTGAACACTTGGACAGATGAAAGCACAAAGCTAAATGAGATGTCTTATAAGAAAACTAGAAGTTACATGCTTAGAAAATACCTCTCTGCTAGTTTAAAAGTTTTGTAGTCTTGTTATTTCATTGTGCTAGAATTTGCATACATAATTCTTTGTGAAAAAAATAAAGCAACTTCCAAGTTCTCAACTTTACAACTTCTAACGGAAGGTCTTGACTTGTCAAAATTTGCTGTTGGCAGTTGAGTTCATTTATGTAATTGAATGTTTGTTCTGTCATACCCAAAATTACTTCCTTAGAGAAACTTCATCTGCTTTGTTTCTGCATTCAGCTTTATATATAACGAAAGAGATTTTGGGTTTTTTTATTACTGAGGATATTTCTATCAACTGATTTGCTGAATTATTTTCAGATTGACATTAAACGTTAACAGTGCCTTGAAGAAAGACATTTGTTTACTGTAGTTTATTTTGTTTTTTTCTTTTGCAATATGTCTGTTAAAAGTTTTCCTCTGAAACTTGACAGCAAAATCTGTTTGTCTTGTAAAAGACTACTAAGCCTAACGCTTTTTTCACACTTGCCTTATTTTACATTCTGATTCTATATTCTGTGGTCACACAACTGTTCCAATGTATTACTTAAATAGAAATACCCTCTGTTGGTTTGATATATCACATAATGAGGATGGCAGTTATGAATAGTGTGAATTGGTATGTGTACTTAGAAATAATTTCAATAAATTTAATCATAAAGTGATTCTGATCTTATGCCTGGTGTCATAGAGAAACAAAATCAAACTCCCCATTTTTAAAATATTTTTTAAAAGTTTATTTATTTCTCCATACCTTCAGATCTTTAGACCCAGACTATGCATTTGCTTAATTACCCAACTGTCTTTACTTTAGATCTGTTACCTTCTAGATGGAAATACCAAAGACAAAATAAAATCCAAGTAATTCCTTTTTAAATGCATACACTGCATCTGGTCTAGATTCATCCTTTGTAACTTGGACATATGAGTTACATCTAGTGTTTCATCTAGTGTTTCACTGTTAATGGGAGGTGGTGCTAAAGGTATCTTCCAGGCAGAAAATAGTAGCCTAAATAGATTCTGCATTAAGCAGGGTGAATATCACCCTGTATTGGTGCTATTTTTTTAAATAAGGCACAAGATCTCAAAACACACTTACATGGTGTTTGTCTTCCCATGAAGGTAAATCTCTGCACTTGCAATTTGAATTAAATACTGTTTTTATCCTCCCAGTTATCAGTTGAAGGAAGACCTAAGGCCATTTCATTAGGTTGTCACCTTCTATGATCTCCAAGGCATAATATGACATTTTGTTAGTACATACAGTGTGCTGTGTTAAGTAACATGTCCTTGCTCATTGCTGTTTTTGCCAGAAGAGTTCAAATGAGATAAATAAACTGCAACGCAGGAAGTGTTGGTCCCTCTTTTGGCAGCTGTTTTGAATGTGAACTTGTTCCCCCCCACCAGCAGAGGCCAGTTACCAGGCAGGCAGACCTTTGGATGAGAATGGACTATCATGACCTGTATTTCTGCCGCTTGGAGTTTGCTGTATGGAAGGATGAGTCTGTACAAAAATAGGTGAGACTAAAGCTAACCCCTATGAATAAATGGTCAAATTCTAAGCAGAGTTAGGATGTGCAGCCAAGAGCACTTGGTGGACAAGTTACTGCAGTAGAATAAAAGTGAATCTATGTGTTTGTAGTATCAAATACCTATTATATTTTTTAAAATTTTACTATTTAAAAGGCACCATGTAGAAAATGGAGAATAATAGATGAGGGAGACAAAGTCTGGAGTTCTTCCAAAGGAGGGGAATAAGGGAATTTGTATCCTTTGCTGTTAAGGGTCATCAGTCTTCTAAATGCATGAATACTTCCAAAAACCATAAAGAAAAAAAATGTAGACCAGTATTGATTAAAAATGCCAAACTGACAGTTGAAACACATACGGATTGGAAAGAAAATATATCCCCAGTGCAAGTAAAATAGCAGTAGCCTTTCCATATTGCAGAACAACTGTTGTTTACTGACTTTAATTCTGTTTCTGTGGATAAAGAGCTGGTTATCGTGGCTGACCTTTTAAAATACATTGACCTCTACATTGCTTATAGTTCCCTCTAAGACTGTCAGACAAAATAAGGTCATGCAGTTACCCTTTGAAACCTGAGAATTAGGATCATGATTTATAGTCATTGCATGCAATTGTTTTGTCAGAACTTAGGGGTTCAGGTGCAGCGGTTCTGCTCAGAGAGTTCACACAAATCTCTGCAACCGCTAACTTTTATCCTCAGGAATGAAGGAAAGAAGCGGTAAGAAAGAAATAAAAATCCCAGAAGATAAAACCACACATTGAGAAAAGCTGAGTGTGTGAATCAACATAAACAAATACTCAAGGACAACCATTAAACGGCTGACAAAAAGCAGGACACAGTCCCCATTAGGCTCAGCTCATCCTAATGGACAGTGAGGGTGCGCTGCTGCCTTCCCCTATATAACAGAAGGCTTTCCACATGTCTGAGGGTCTTACCTCTCCATGTGATTTCTGCTTCTAAAAAGATGAACAACAGTAGGCATAGGAAATGGGAGTTTTCTCACACTGGCAATTTCAGCATTCCTGGCTGCAAGGTCACTGAGCAAAGCTATTCTTCACCAAATCTGGGTTTAACTCTTTTAACCCATACATTGACATGAAAAAGTTCTTAATGGGCTTTTTGCATCCATGTATATATAGATACAACCTAGGACAATGCAATGCAAAAGCACAGATTGCTTTTAGAGAAGCAAATAAAAGCATTTCTGTGAGATTAGTTAACTTGAGAAAATGAGCTGTAGGATCAGTTTGTTCCATCAGACTAGACAGAAGGCTCTACACGTTTGTATGTTCTGAGATGTCATCATGAGGAAGTAAGATCCAATATTTAAAAGCTGTTCAGGTGATTTTCATTCTACCATGCCTCAGATTTTGACAGTGCAGATGTACGAATTAGTGAATACCGTTTCCTGTAACCCTTAAGAGTTACATACTTTTGGAGGCATTTTACATTGTTTCTGACTTTCTGGCATAGCTAGTAAGAAAATGTGCGAAGAAGAGAAGAGCAGGCTTTGAAAACAGGTAGTGAATGAATTTCTGGTTTTGCTTTGCTTGCATGCACAGCCTTTGCTCCCCCTTCAGATGTCACTGTCCTGATGCTAGAGTAGTTTTGCCTGCCTTCCATTTCCTTCGTGTCTCACAGGGAAGCAGAGGGAGAGAGCAGCTGTGTGGAATTTTGGCTGTTGGCCAGGGTCAAACCACTCCCACAGCCAGCTACCCAACAACACGAAAAACATAGACTTGGGCCATGTACCCCTAATACAGCTCTTTCAACATAAAAAATATAATTGAGGAAAATAAAAGCCTTTCACTTGTCTCTTCTGAAATATTTATTCTTATATGAAAAACTCCAAAGCGATATGGGTGAAGAACCATTCTTAGACTAGTAAAAACATTGGTGCCTTATGAAGGTATATAAATCGTTTCTAGATCAAGCAGGCTTTTTCTATCATTTTTTGATACATCAGTAAAAAATAAAATCAGCAGACATGATGGTACACTGAGAAAGAGTCAGTATAGGAGTAGTATCACCACACAAATGTATGGGAGTTATTTCAAGGAAACCATAAACTCATGGGCAGAATGAAATGGTGTATTCGACTTCCAAAATTTTTTTTACAAGGTCCCATACTAGCAGTGTCTGAAAATACATGGGGAAAAAGGAATAGACCTATTACATAACAACAGTTGACTTAACAAGAAACAGAAATATTTGAATAAAGTGCGGGGATCAACACCGAGATCCATGATGTTCAACATAATAATAAGAGCAAGAAGGGTGCTTAGTGAGCTGATAGACCACTGATAGTTATGAATCTGAAAATGTGTTCTCAGAGTTGTAGAAGAAAAACATTTTAAGCAAGGTTAGGTGGCAGATAAAACAATAGCTAGGTTACGTACGGATTGTTAGGTTGTAGTTTTCCCATGAGATGTCATTAAACTGAGAACAACTGGTGCAGCATATTATGAATATCAAAGCTTAGACAAGCTTAAAAAGTAATTATGTAAATTCACAAATGAAAAGTCTGCCAGTATTAAGTACTGATTAGAGCCTTTGTCTCAAGGACAGTCATCCAAGGATGGGTCAAATTGTGGTAGATATCCCTGAAGCACATCACTGTATGCCTGCCCTACTCTCATACCCTTTCTGGTGATATGCTAAGGGCATCAGAAACATGCTGAATTTTTGCTTGTTTCCTTACTTCAGGGTTAATGCTGCAATAATTACAGAAAATCTGCATAATACAGATTTTTTTTTTTCCCAAGACTGATTGTCACCACTTAGGACTAAAAGACTATTTAGATCAGGAAAAGCTAAGGTACAATTTGTCCATTTTTTAATTTTTCCCAGTGAAAAATACCATCTAGAAACCATTTATATACTTTAATAAAGCGCCAATGTTTTTACTAGTCTAAGAATGGTTCTTCACCCATATTGCTTTGTACTTTGGGGTTTTTAATATGAGAAGAAGTAATATTTCAGAAGTGACAACTGAAAGGGTATTGATTTTCTTTTCCTCAATTATATTTTTTATGTTGAAAGAGCTGTATTAGGGGTACATGGCCCAAGTCTATGTTTTTCGTGTTGTTGGGTAGCTGGCTGTGGGAGTGGTTTGACCCTGGCCAACAGCCAAAATCCCACACAGCTGCTCTCTCCCTCTGCTTCCCTGTGAGACACGGAGGAAATGGAAGGCAGGCAAAACTACTCTAGCATCAGGACAGCAGTGACATTCTGATAGGGGAAGCCCGCCTTTTGTAGGCAGATGTCCAAATTCGTCCTGGGAACCAGGGCCTTAGCATGTGTAACAGCTGCTTGAGAGGGCAAATATCCTGTCCTCTATCATATCTCGTATACTTTCTCTGAGTCTTTATCGGAGAGGAGGATACTCTCAGGTGGAAAATTCCTTTGGTCCCTTAGAGTTGTTCTGATTAGGTGGCATTGTAATGCCAGCCCACCCAGGGTTTACTCCCTGGGGAGTCAGAGCACAAAAGATAAACCCTTGACACTGTGCAAGTTTTGTTCTGCTGTGCCCAAAACACTGCTGTGTTATCAACATTGTTCTGCCTCTGAGCCACAGTTTTGAAATAAGCACTGTAGGGGCTACAGTGAAGGACATTGACTCATCCCATCCAGACCAGTACATTTTACAAGGCTGAGTCTCCTTTCCAACACTGACCTGGAAAAAAAGAAACTAGGCAAAAATCTCTCTTTTCCCCTATACAACTGTCATAAACTTATCAAGCTTCTTGCCCACTAGGTTAATTGACTGTAAATTTCTAGTAGGAGTCAAAAAGACAAAGGCCTAAGTAATGAGAACGACTATTTAAGCAATACAATTCCTCCCCTTTCATTGAAAACAGAATGCAAAATATATAATTCATTAAAGCATATGTCCTTCAATAGTTGGCAATAGGTAAGGCAAATATAATTCTTTGGCAATTTTACAGTTTTTCAAATAATCCTTATTTGCCACTGGTAATTTTCAAGATTTGGGGTGTTTCTGGAAGTAAGTACTTTTCATGGAAGTTGAAGCAACAATATAGTCAGATTCAAGGCTGTTATTTGCTTTTCATATCTCTTCCACAAATCTTAGCAGAAGATGAAATCTCATCTTCTACTTTGAGGTCAAGCTGG